GGGAGGGCAGGAGAGCGAGCGACACGTGTGTATGTGTATGTGTGTCGCGCTGTATGTGCAGGCACTGGCGGCATGTATCCCACCGGCCCATCGACACCCAAGCCACAAGCCGGTCCACCTGGAGCCATGAGGCCTCCAAGTAACCCAACCAACCAACCAGCACCCACCACCCCCTTCTCCCCTTGGTTCGTTCAGGTCTAGCAGCTGCGTTCCAGCCCACATCTGCACCACCCACCCCCGCACAGCCCATGATGGGCATGCAGTCGGGCATGGGCGGCATCGGCGGTGCCGGCGGCGCGTACGGACCCCCAGGGGCGGCACAGCAGCCGATCAGCTCACAGGCGGGGGCGTTGGGAGGAGGCGGGGTGGCCCCGCCGCCCATCTCTGCCGGGCCGAGCACTCACCCTGCTGGCGGCGCTGCGGGAGTGTCGGCGAGCGGTCTGCCGGTGTCGTGGCCTGTGCCCACTACCACACAGCAGGTGGGTGTGCGCTTTTCGTGGGAGAGGGGGGGCCATGCCATGTGTGCTGTGGATGGATTGTGTTTGTGTTGCTTTGGTGTTGTTGTTGTGTTAAGTTGGGGTCTACCACGTCCACTACGGCTCATTTGAATCGGAGTCTTCACGCGACGGCTACAAGTAAGTTGGGAGGGAAAGGGGCCGGTCGCTGGGGTGCCCAGCTGGGGTTGTTCAAGGTTGTTCAATTCAATGATGGAGGAAAGTGTTAGATAGTATCTGAGCTGCTCCTCTGGTGCAGTGCACATGACATCCGAACACAAGATCCATGTCCTCTGAGATACACACAGACAGACAGTCTGACCACACATTCCCTGCATGACACACACACACACACACACACATCTGTGCTGTGTGGCATCCTCAAGCGTGAATGGGTGTGGCGTGTGTGTCTCGCTCTGTGTCGTGTGCGTGTGTGCAGGTCAGCCGCAGAGCACCCCCATGGCGCCGGGGCAGCTCGACCAAGTCAAATATGTGCTGGGGGGCCTCTTGCAGGTGAGTGCGAGGGCGGGGGAGTGAGCAACAGACAGACAGACAGACAGACAGCATCATGGCTGTGCACACGACGTCTCCCTCCCTGTCTGTCTTGCTTTGACTGCATTCATTGATTTAGCATGAGGGCAACTCCAAGAAGAAAATGGACGTGCAGAAGAAACTCGAGGAACTCTACCAAAAGGTAGGTCTTCTCCCCACAGCAGCAGCACACCAGAGTCCATTATGGATCCGCCTGTGTGTGTGTGTGTGTGTGTGTGATGTGTCATTCATTGTGCTGCCTGCCTGCAGCTGAGCACGGGCAGCATTTCCCAGCCGGCACAGGACAAGGTGGTCTCTCTCACCAGAGGTACGTTCGTCCGTGCAGTCAGCCACGCTGACATACATCCTCAGTTACATGTGTGTGTTGGTCGATCGGTCAGCGATTGAGAGCCACGACTACGCGACGGCCAACAAAGTACACCTTGAACTCAGCAACTCCGAATGGGAACACAACAGAAACTGGTCAGCTAGACACACACACACACTCACACTCGAGCAGAACACGCGTGATGGCGCAATCTCTGTCTGTGTCCATAATGATGTATGCCAGGTTGATGGGCGTGAAGCGGTTGCTGCCGAGGGGCTGAATAGGCGAGACTTTAGCTGCTCATCCGTCTACACTTTGATCAACCAACCAACATCCACACGCACACGCAGCCAGGCGACACTCATCCATCTGTGTTGTGTGTCCGTCGGGGCGGGGCGGGGCCGGTCAGCGAGGTTTCTTTGTGATGATTGCACTCCCTACTTATATATATGTGTGTGTGTGTGGTTACCTGTTGCCATGATCTCACCCCCCGACCAACCCAGCCCACCCATCCCACCTGCATAATTCATTGGGCGAGCAGCAATTCATGACGACGAGGGTGGGCAGGCAGGCAGGCAGGCAGGCGAAACAAGTGCATGGTGTCTGCCTAATTCGCGTTTTAAGCTGTCGCTCACTCCCTGACTTACCCTGATCACTGCCTTTCCTTCCTGGCTCTCCGCCACTGACCCACTGACTGACCCATCCTTCGTCGGGACATAACATGCATCAACACGGGACCTTGACCTTGGTGTGCGTGTGTGCATGCGCGGTGCCGTCTGGACTCTGGGGCCGTCACATCTCTTCATGGCCATCATGGATAACAAACACGGTATTTAAGCGGTGCACAAGTGCTCCACGATCATCGGCCGTTTGACGGCCGTTTGGGCCCGCCCCTCCGGTCGTCCATCATCCCGATAAGAACTTGAAGCGATGCAGGCCCCCCCGATGAATGTCCCTCCGATGAATGTCCCTCCCCCCCGCTGGACCACCACCTACTCGTACGACCCCCTGGTCTCCAATGCCCGCCTCCTCGCGGATGCCAGCCTTCTCGAGGAGGACGGGCGCGCCCTCACCGCACTCACACAGGGGACACAGAGCGAGGTGCCGCTCCCCATCGCCTCCCGGCTCCTCACAGGCCCGGGGCAGGCAGTCTCCCCGCCGCCCTTCCTGCAGATGGAGCCCGACATGAGTGTGCGGGACCACCAGCTCAGCATCGACTGCCTGTTCGCACACATGAACTCGGTCAGTCAGAGTGAATGCCAGGGGGGGAGGGGACGACACATGAGTGGTTGTGGTCTCGTTGGTTGGTTGCAGCGTGTTCGCGCGAAGCTGGTGGACTCGAGCGACCCGGAGGAGGTGAATGTGCCGCGGGAGGTGGTGGACTTCCTCTGCGAGTACTACCCGGAGCACCTCCACGGATGGGCCAACATATGGCTCGGACGTCAGGGAACCCACAAGCCGCCACAACAAATACATGAACATAGAGACAGAGACGGTTGACCTCTGTGTGTGTGTATGCGTGTGCATGCATTCAGAGCGTGATTTGATGCAGGAGAGGCAGTTGGTGGGAGAGTTCTTCCAGCACTACAAGGTGGGCGAGGGCGTCGCCGAGCAATTCGTCAAGGCAGGATTCGACACGGTGAGACACCGATCCAGCGACGAAGTATTCCGCCACCCATGGCATGGCATGCGTGGCTTCATTCATTAGCTGGAGACGCTTGTGACGATGACTCCCGAGCAGCTGGACCTCATCGAGGAGTACAACCAGCTCAGCTGGCTCCCGGGTCACAAAGTCCGGCTGGAGGTAAGCGAAGCGCACAAAGGTGCCGTCCCCTTCCTTCTTGTGCATGAGCTCCTTCCTGCATGTCCGTCCATTGCTGCTGCCGCTTGCCTTGGTCAGAATATGTTCACCGATATCGACGCCAAGGTCCGCTCCTTCCGCAAAGTGAGTGAGTCAGCCAGGTCAAGCCAAGAATCCAATGACAGAGAGAACAACCCCCCGCCCCCACATGTGCCCCCACCTCCGCGTGTGTCTGCGCCGCATCAGGATCGTGAGATTTTGGCTCGCCGCATCCGCATGGCCCCTGCGCTGGTGCCTCACCTGCGGAGCCCCTACGGCCACATGGAAGAGGTGCCCGTCAACATGGGCACCACACCACAAGGCATCGTCCAATCTGAAGTAGGCAGGCTTTGGAAGAAACAGACACAAAAAGAGAACATCTTCGTCCCCTTATGCGGCGTGGCCCGCCTCAGCGTGAGTTGAGGGCTGCCGACGCGGCCGCTGCAGTTGCGAGTGCAGGTCAGGGTGAGACATGGCAGGACATGGACCAGCAGAGCCGCGACAGCCGCAGGGTGCGGTGCGCACGCACATCTGTGGTGGTGGTGTCTTGAGAGGAGATTTGCACCAACGACCATCTTGTGTGTGCATATGTCGTCAGATGGGTACCGATTCGGGAGGGTCTGGCGGGGCTGGGGCCACTGGAGGTCAGCCAGCAGCCAAAGCCACTGATTAGGCACTTGGACGCATCGCACGCACAATTGTCTGTCTGCCTGCCTGTCTGTCCGTCAGGTCCTCCTATGCCCCAGAACCTCACCTCTCCACCACAGCCTTCACCTCGCACACAGGCACCTGCTGCTGCAGCTGCAGCGTAGGCCACGCCACGCACTCACCAAAGCATGCATGACACCTGCTCTGCTCTGCCCATGTATGTCTCCCTCCCTTTTGTGATGACAGGGCGGGCGGGCTGGCCGCGACGTCATCCATGCCTGCCTTCTCATCCCCTGCCACAGAGGAGCAAGACCAACAGGACGACTGACCGAGCCATCGGAGGGGAAGGATGGATATGGCTGCATGAGAGTGCACATGGTGTGGGTATGGCAGTGGGAGGGAGGGAGGGAGGGAGGGAGGGGACCCGGTTTCCGTGTACATGCAGTGCAGCTGTGAAATGAAGTCGGGTTTTCGATTCCCCAACAAGGCGGCGCGTTCACATGAGAAGGTGGAGGAGTCTCTAGTCAGACACGACACTTGCACCCAACCAAAAAAGAGCAAAAGAATGGACCCTCCCGCTCCCCTTCCTCCCCTCTCCCGCTGGTCAGCGAGCAAAACTACGGCGGTCACAAAATCACACAAGGCGGCCTGTGCGCTCCGTGCGCTGCTGCGTTGGTGTCTGAGGGGCCTCGAGTGACAGCTGCATATTCTCTCCGCTGGCCTTGGGGCTGTCCTGGAGTTCAGGCGTGGGCATCGGCCGCACACAACAAGGCGAGCAATTGCCAAACCATCTCTCCCACCATCTACACAACACAGACAAGCAAAGCCCATCGATCATGCCATTGCGCTCCCCGAGGCACACACAACAGATGCACGGCACGCAAACAGAGCAAATCGGTCCGTCTAGTAGAAAGATAAGCGCTACCCAGCCTCCTGCCTAGCATAATTTATCAGAGCTTGGCGGCATGCGCCTCCTCCTCCTTCTTCCCACTCATGCCACCCTCAGTCGCTGCCTGCCCATCCGTCGCCTCCTCCCCGCCTGTCCCCCCCGTCGTCCCCTTGCCGTCTCCTTCCTTCCCTGTCTTGCCCTCTCTGCTGTCTTTGTTCTCATAGATGGAGAGCAGCATGCTGACGCTGCCGAGAATGTACCCCCACGAAGGCGCCCCTCCCATGCCCAGCACAAGTGGTGGCCTCTCTGCTCTTCTCAGTGTGAGGGGTGCGTCTACTGACGTGGGTTGGCGGGGCGCAGGCGGCAGCAGCGGCTGCGTCACGTCGTCGCTCGTCCCAAACATGATGTCCATCGGGTCCACCGAAGTCGACACGCCTCTCCCTCGGGCGGCGTATGGCGGCAGAGTCTGGATGGGGTCCGTCTGGCTTGTGGCGTCGCGGAATTCTCTGCAAGGGAGGGAGGGGGAGAGGGAGAGGGAGAGGGAGGGGATCAGAGGGGGGCGGTGCACAGACAGATGGGTGCCGTGTCTCACCTCTGTATCTTGCCGACGTGCTGGTGCAGCTCCTCAACTCCCTGAAGTGAGCACGAGAATTGTCAGCAATATCAGTCTAGGTTTCGCGTGTCCAGCCTACCCCTGCAGCCGAAATGATGGATGCTCTCTTAACCGCTTCGCCAGGTGGCGACACCATGATCGGCGGCATGGTCACCGTGCGTCCGCTTGGCCGCTGGTAGAGCACCGACTCGCTGCCTCTCTGCACCGTGCGGCCCTCTGCCATGAGTATCTGCGACATGCTGCTGGCTTTGGCCCGCGGAGGAGAGGGCGGACGGGCCACCATGGGAGGCTTAAGCGACTGATGCCATGAAGAGAGGGGCAGCACACACATATACATCGACACACAGGAGGCTCCCATGCTGTCTGTCTGTCTGTCTGTCTGTGGTTACCTCCCATCTCGTGACAAGTCGGTCGTTGGTATGCTTGAGGCGCGCATTCTCCTCTTCGAGTGCTGCAATCTGCCGCTTCAAATCTAGCTCGCCTCTCACCGCTGATGACGGCGGAGGAGTCGAGGCCGCACGGGTCTTGCGCCGAAGCTGCTCGTCCAGCTCAGGGCCAGGAGGCGCCAACACGTCAGCCTGACACACACAGACAACAAAGGCACGGCTATCTGTATCGCTCACGCCACGACACACGTGGGCGCTCACCGCCTTCTTCTTCTCCTTCTCCAGCTCCGTCTTCAAATGTAGCATTTCCTCCTCCATCTTCTCATGCATGTGCTGCAGCCGCAGCTTGGCCAGCTGCAGCTGCGCCACCGACGGCGAGGGCAGGTTCTGCCCGTAGCTGCTGCGTCTCTCCCGCCCCATGGTCGACTCGAGGGGACTCATGAGAGTCTGGCCGTGAGGTGACGACGAGCGGCGCTGGTAGTACAGGAAAGAGTCGTCCAGAGCGCCGGTGAGGAGGAAGGGCGATCGGAGGGCCGACTGCTTGCTGGACGCGTCGGATCTGTCGAGGCCCTGGTCGTTGGCCTGGAGCTGGCCCAGGTTGAGTTTGGGAACGGCCACGCCAGACAATTCTTTGGTGACCTGGACCGTCGGTGGCGCCTCTGGCAAGAAGAGACACGTATTAGGGACATGGTGGAGCCATCTGGTGAGTACCTTGCTGCTTCTGCTGCTCGATCTGTGCCCGGAGGTCTTCAATCTCGTCTAGCAGGTCATCCACCTCTTGTTTCAGCTCGTCATTCTCCTCTCCCAAGTCCTGAATGAACGAACCGAGAGACACGAGACACGTGATGTGATGCACACTCCCCTTCCATATGTGCGGTGCATGGTTACTTACTTTGCAGTTTTCTCTGAGTATCTCGCATTCGTCTTCGATGGCCACCTGGCTGCGACTGCCCAATCTGGACTGCGGCGACGCATCATCCCATTTGGAACGGAACTTGAGCTCTTTGGCAAGATTCATGTCGGCCTCCTTCACCTGACACACAAACACAAAACGATGAAGCACCGCATTGAGATGCTGTCCTTTGTTTCTTTTCTGCCTTGTTTTGTATCCCCACGTCGGATTTCTTGGAGACGAGTTGCAGCTGGTGTGTGGACTGCTGGCTGAATCGATCTCTGCGTGACGCCTCGAGCAGGCTCTGAAGCTCCTCCTTCTCCTCCGTCAGGTGGGTGACTTGTGTCTCGAGGGCCTCGCACTTCTTCTCAAGGGCCAGCACGGTTGAGTTCAGCGCCTTCATCTTCAACTCCCTGACAAACAACAAAGACTCACTTCACGATGTCGCTGTGCTCTTGGTTTGCCGTGTGTCTCTCTCTATATGTGTTCTCCCTACAGGACTTGGGTGTCGGGTCCTCTGGCCGTTCTGGGGGTCTGTATGCGTCCAGCTGCGGCCTGCTGCTGCTCCTGCTGTTGCTTCTCGAGTAGTGCCTGCTGTTGCTGCTCCTCCTTGGCGGCCTTCTTTTCTTCCTTCTCCTTCGTCTTGACCTCCTGCTTTACCTCCTGCAGGCTCCGCTTGAGTGCCGCCTTCTCCTCTCTCACAACCTCCAGCTCCTGATGCCAGTCATTGACGCGCCAGCAACGAATCAATGAGGGATAACCAGCAACGAATCAGTGAGGGACAAGACGAAAGTGTCAATGGGTCACTGTCGGTCACCTTTTGTGCTTCTTCGAGGAGAGTCAGGTTCTTTTCGCTTTCGGCCTGGTGTGCCTCTTGTGCAGTGCGGTGCAGCTCCAGCTGCTTCCGCAACACTGTGATCTCCTCAACCATCTCGTCCCATTCAGCAGCTATGTCTTCATCCAGGTCCTGTGACACACACACACACACACGTGTGACAACGGGAGAATGGATGTTTTCCGGTCTGCATGTCGTGGTGCACCTGTCGTTTCTTGAGGATCTCGCCGGCTCCCCTCCGATTCAGCATGTCGATTTCGTTGTCCTTGGCCTGCAACTCCCCCTCCATGTCCTCGACCATGTGCTCAAGGTAAGACACCTATCACGCAGACGCACACGCAAAGTTGCAGTACATTCGTCTCTTCACCTTGGTTGCATGGTGACTGAGTGGTTAGCGCCCACCTGGCGTCTGAGTTCTTCCATGTTGGTCACTTGGCGAGGTGAGATCATCTCCGGGTCCTGCTCTCCCTCACCTGACGACGGCTCACCCTCCACTCGTGGCGTGAGTCTTTCCTCCACTTGTTGAAGTCTGAACTCCTCCAGCGCCTTCATTCCCCGAGCCTTCTGACCCTCACCAGGCCCGGACATGAAGGCAATCGACCCGCGACGCATCTGCTGCTCCGCTCGCTCGTCGGAGGTCTGAGAGAGGGTGGAAACGTGGGGGCATCTTATGGACCGGGACACATGCTTTTTCTGTCTTACCGCTGATGAAGGTGTGTCTGCTTCTTTGTCTCCGGATTGGGGCGGTGTGACGGACGAGCCCTTGGAGAGAGGCGGCAAGGGGGGCAGTGGAGTCATTCTGGATGTGCGACGAGAACGAGCGCCGGTGAAGGTGGCGGTCACAGTCGAGAACTGAACAGAAAGACAGCAAGAGAGCACAAACTCTCCGCTCAATCCGCAGTCTTAATGGTCTCCCCTCACTTTGCGTTCGCCGTGCTCTGGGATGGTCCCGACCCCCAGTGCGGCGATGTTGGGCGACTGAGAGACACGACGGGAAGCGGCTGATCCGATGGTTGATCTCAGCGTCCCAGGCGGTTTCGGTGGCTGTCGGCAAGTCAACAGGACATGTACCCATTCTGACTGACATGTCAGTCTCTGATCGTGAGACGCTTACTCGGCTTGAAGGGGATGCCTCTTCTTCAGTCGAAGTCGAATGCGGCGCCATCACTGACCCAGTGGCCGGCCCGGTGGCCTTTTTCACTCGCCCCTTACCCCGGAGCAGCGAATTCAGGTAGCTGGCCGACGTGATGCCCCGAACGGACTGCTGCAGCTTCTCCCGGGGCGTGATCGGACGCGGCTTCCCCGTCTCTTCCTGAGGCACCGTAAGCTGCCCCACACGTGATTGCTGCTCCCGAAGCCTCTGTGTCCGCTCTCGTCTGAGTTTCTGCGTGACAACAGGCAATGCGTTGTGGGTTTGTCTGTCTGTATCTCAGGTCCCCTACCTCGACGCGCTCGCGTCTCTCGTTGCGTGGGGCGTCATTGGCGGGGCTGTGGGCGCTGGTGCGAGAGGCGTTGAGGGAGGCGGCGGCCGACTCTTCCTCTTTCAGCTTCAGCTTGAGGACGGGCACCTGAGAGAAAGACGTTAAGCGCATCGCGCAAGAGAATGGCAGGCAAAGTCCGCTATGCGCACCTGAGGGGGTGGTGTAGACATGGTGGCTGGTGGGGGAGTTGCTTTGTTGCTCGCGGGTGGGGGCTTCACCCACAGGGCCTCAGCAGCACCTCCAGGATACAAAGATACAGGATTCCCTTCGGAAAGGGCGGGGGGACTCGGAGGAGAGGGAAAAGTCGCGACGAGACAACCCTATAGGGTTAGGGTTGACGGGTTTCGGGGTTAGAAGCAGGCGGGCCGGTGTGTATGGGCCTCCGACGCGTACGCACATGGCACAAATATTGCTGTCTGTCTTTCCACATGGTCACACGCCTCCCTGACTCAAAGCGACCGCTGATCGTCATGCAACACGAGAAGGAACAACAACGAAAAACTGCATCTGAACTCACACGGACACATCTGCACATCAGCTGGCGGATAGCCCATTGATCAGTCTCCCATCAGTCCCCAAAAGCCCTTGTCCACAGCTCCCTTTCCCTGGCCGCCTCGCCCTCCTGTCCCACAAGCTCCTCCGCTTCCCTTCTCAGCCTCCGCAGCCAAGTCACCAGCTCCGTCAACAGCTCTCTAGAGCCAGGTGTCCTCGCTATTCGCTCTCTTTCCCCGTCGTGCTCTGTGCGATCCCTGTCCAGTGCAGCCATCCACTTCCACAGGTAGTAAGCAGCACCAAATCGAAGGAGCTCGCCGAGAGAGACGACTGAATCACAATCCTGAGGGGCCGCGACCGCACCATCGTCACGGAACAAGAAACCCGGACGCCTTGTCGCTTCTTGAGGCGGTTCAGGGACCAGTGGAGAGTAGTCGGGGCCGCCTTCAGGGCCGAATGGCGGGAGGTTTGCATAGCTCTTGACTTGGACATTCTGCTCGAGCCTCTCCGCAAGCTTCCGCACCAAATCGGGGCCCTCGCTCTCACTCTCGTCGCTTGCCCCTGCCGCACTGGCGCTCTCTTCTGTCTCATCCTCATCTCTCCTCGCGGCATCATCAGAGGGGCAGACAGATGGAGGGGCCGGGGGATGAGGCACCGCGTCGAGATCACCCCAAGCAGGGAGGGGGCCGTGCTCCTCCCGTGGTGGCGGCTCACCCTGGCCGTTCTCCTCTGCATCTTCAGCATACTGCGGAAGGGTCACCTGGTGGCACATGGTTGCCGTTGTGGGCATCTCACTGAGAGGCAACACGGGGTAGATGAGCCCACTGACATCCAACTTGGGTGTGGGTGTCGGCAGCGGTCCTCTTGTCAGCTCGATAAGGGCGAAGCGCGGCAGATTGTTGACGTCGATCCAAGCGGACGGCAGATTCAGCAGCCAGTCCACTATGACCTGCTGCTCACTCGTGACGCTCTCCACCTCTTCTGCTTCTTCTGGCTCCTCTCCCTTTGCCTCTCCCTCTGGCTCCTTTGTCTTTCCCTCTTCTGGCTCCCTCTCGACCACCACCGCACCTTCCCCGGGCGCCTCAAGGCGTGCTGCCGGTGTCGTGACATCCTCGCCTCCTTCCAGCCCTTCTCGCTCCTCTGGAGGGGCCGTGGGCTCTGGTGGCTCTGGTGGCTCTGTCGGCTCTGGTGGCTCTGGTGGCTCCGTCGGCTCTGCTCCGGGGGCTGGAGCGGGTGGCTCTGCTGGAGGGGAAGGGGGTGGTGGTTCTGCCGGCGGCTCCGATGACTCGGGGGGAGGCTGCTTGGGAGGGGGAGGGGAAATCTCGGGGCCAACCTCCTTCGCTTTCGCTCGCCTGCAGAGTGGACACATGGGAGCAGTGATCAATCGCTGTTGTGATGCCCGGTGTTCGTGGCCGGTTACCATCTTGGCAGGAGTGTTGTCCTGAAGATGGACCAGAGAGCGTCGGAGGCCTCGGTGCGCAGGCTGGCATCGGCCAGCACTTGCGACACGAACTCCCGGCCGAGCTCGAGCGTGGCGCTGTCCTTCATGACCTGGGCCGTCACGTGCTGGGCCTGACATGACACACGACACACACATATAGACTCGCACTGGCATGGACACCGATGTGTGAAATGGGCGTCTTGTGAGGAGGTACCAGGTCCACACAGTACTGTCGCACAACCTCCGAATTAAGAACAGTGTCGGTGCTGAACATCGAACACAGACGAAAACCATTGTTTGTGTTGCCATCTTTCGTTGCCGTGCTTGGCGTCAGGCGTCCTTACACTAAATGCTGGGCGGATTCCCGGACATCCTGCAGCAGGAAACGAAACACCAAATAAGTGAAATGACACAACGCAGGAGCCCTTCCATGTCCATCTTGCTCACATCTCGCTCGAGCAGGACGCCACACCACTCCCCCGCTGCTTTCTGCGCCGATGGACTGCATCATAACGCATCGCATTGAGACCAAAAGCCATCCATCACTGCGGCATTCGCATCTTCTTTCGCTTACAGGAAAATGGCCATCACAAGCAGATCAGACACCTGCTGCTGCACAGTCGGGCTCGACGTCAGGTTCCTGCAGGCGGACATCCACCACACACACATCTGGCTGTTTGTATGCGCCGCCGTCGGCACATGCAGTGGTGGTGGTCGGCTGTCTCACTTGACGATGTCGTTTGAGATCTGCATGACTTTGTCCATGACGACCTGGGTGTTGAGCGTCCGCACCACCAAAGAGGCCAGCTCGTTCTCCTGACATGACGACACCATGTCAACAAACAGAGGCCTGGTGGGAGTGTCGTGCAGCGTGTGGCGAGGCTGCATACCGAGGATGCGAGTATCTCCATGAACCACTTTTGAACGAGCTGCTGGACCTATCAGACAGGCAGACAGACACACAAGGATGCAGCAGTGAGAAGAACGGCAAGGGCTGTAATGGTGCTCACCCTCTGGTCCTGCAGGACGTCATCGATCAACTGCTTGGAGAACTGATTCGCTGGCCCGCCACACAGCAAGGCACACAGCCACAGTAATTTGACGGACGAAGCATGAACGATCAGCGTACCAGTGAACTGCAGCTGCTCGTTGGTGAGTCCTTCCCTCACAACCTCGGCTCCCTGCCTGCATGAGCGCACAGACGAAGGCACACGTCGGTCATTCCGCGGCACACACGCCCCACTCACTTGGATATGAGTGACTTGAATGAGTCCCCATAAGCAAACAGCACCACCCCGATGATGGCCCCCGTTATCGACACGGTCACGATGAAGTTCTGATACAGCCGGGTCACCACCATCTCGTAACCCTTCTGCGTCTCATGCTCCAGGTAGCGACGCAAGTTCCTCACCTCACCCAGCACCCACCCGTCCCACCCCTGCTGACTGTCACCCTGGCCTCCTCCTCCTGCCGATTGCTGACCACCCTTCGATTGTTGACTAGCACCCTCCTGACGCTCCGCATTCCTCTGATCGTTGGCCTGCTTGCCATTGGAGATGACAGAGCGGAAGGATGCGTCCCTCCAGGGCCTGCTGTGCGGGATGGGAGGGGGCGGGGGCCAATGCGGGAGTGTATGAGTGAAAGGGGATGACGCATGCGGAGGCGGGACCGACGGCGGGCGAATGGCTTTGGAGGCTGCCTGGGAACACTTGAGCTTGGCCAAATGGCGAAGCATTCAGCTGCCGGGAGGGATTGTTTCTCGATCAAGACAAGCGCTGTGCGTGTCCATCAGCAAGTTGGCGGTATGAGCTGCGGCTCTCATGACTGCTTTCACTCGGAAAGCACCACGCAGCGGTTTCAGGGAGCACCCGAAATTGCCGCGCATTGCGAGCTTTGGTACGATCGCCAGAGAAAAGTTCGTTGTCACGGCGGTTCCATACAATCTCAATCACCGTGATGAGTTTGACAGACAAGAAGTCATTCAGTCGGTCATAAATGAATTCGGAAACACCGTCCAATTAAACCGGCAGTCCGCCACGCAGTCAGGCAGCAGGTGCGTCATCACTGCTTCGTTCACCTGACACCTCCACATAAGTGGTGAGCACGTGAACAGCGACGCCTCACCATCTGCCTAGTGAGCCGCGCGTGCATGTCATACAACGGACGTGACACGCATCGACAAGCATCCACCCCTACACCAAAATTCCCCCGTCTCTGCCTGGCTGCCACGTGCTTGCTATCTTTGCTCTCTCTCATGTGCGCGGCATCAATCTGAAGGTCTCCCTCCCGTCCCGCCCCTTGTCGACCCACCCCACCGCCCCCCACTCCACCACAGCCACATCCTTGCTGAAGCCGTTGTCGATCTCCCCCGCCAGCCCCCATTTGGCCGCCTCGTCCAGGATGGCCCGCTGCACCACCTCACGCAACTCCATCTTGCGGCCACCCACACCGCCCACTACAAAGCACTGCAGCTGCGGCACACGCACCAGCTGGCCGCCCACATCGGCCGTCCCGCCCACCACCTCCCTGTTGCTGCTGGCCTGGTACACCGCCGAGCGGACAAAATGCTCCGCTGCCGCACACACACGGCGGGCCATGCCGCTGTGCCGCACACCAATGGCCTCACTGATGGCCTCCTGTGCGGCATCCATGTCGAAGAGGTATGACGCGATGCGCCAGCCGACGATGGGGGCCTCCTGCGGGCCGACGGCCAGCCGGGGGGTCAGGAGGGCCGCGAGGGAGCGGTGGGGGGCGAGGGCGGCATTGACGGCCGCCATGACGGGGGGACCCAGCTCGTTGAGCACTGTGGCGTACTCGGTGAGCGCCAGCTGGCGCTGACGGCGGCGCACCGCCGCATGCTCCGGCAGCACCAGCTGGCGCTGATGGCGGTCCTCCTCTATGGGAATGCTGCTGATGTCGGCCCCCACCCGCAGCAGGCTGCGGATGATCAGCTTGTAGTTGGGAATCTCGGCGCGATGCCGCTCCTTGGTGGCTTCGGGTGTGTTGGGGTCCTGAACCTCTCGAGTGCAGCGATCGAGCTCAAAGGCAGCTGTGTCGAGGGGCGTGTCGCCAGAGTTGTCCCGTCTGTTGATCTGGTCAGCGGGCAGCTTGCGGCAGACGTAGTCGGCCACGTGGGGAGAGCTCCACAGTGCCGCCGTTTGCAGTGGTGTCCATCCAATGCCATTGGCTGCCGTCATGTCGGCCCCTCTCGCCGTGATGAGGTCCAGGTAGCTGTCGATGAACCACTGCGGGTAGTGGCCCCGAGCCACCTAAGCTGCCTGGTGCACCAGGTTGTAGCCATAGCGTTGTTCGGTTGCGAGGGTGGGGTCTCGTTGGATGAGGTGCCGAAACATCGACATGAGCCGCCGCAGATACTCGGAGGGAGGCGGACGCATGGCATAGGGCAGCTCCATCCGCATGCGTGGGCCTCGTGGGCGCAGGTCGATGTCGTGACGAAGCATCAGCAGCTCGAAGGCCGTCTGATTGCCGGATGCAATCGCCAACCCAATGGGCGTCCAGAGACTCCCATCGGCCTCCAAATTGAGGTCGGCGCCTCCGTCGAGGAGTGCGGTCAGGACGGCCGACTGCAGCTCGTCAGACGACCCCTGTGGCAGGGCGACGAAACGGAGGACAGCATGACTGTCTTCTGCTTGGATGGTCGGGACGGCATAATCCGACTTGTCGTCAATGGCGAGCTGGACCAGCGAGTAGGGAAAGCCAGCCCACTCGCTGCTCTTCTGCCGCAGTCGAGGCACCACATTCGGGTCGGCGCCCTGCCCGATGAGGTCGGTCACTTGCTGGGGGCTGGTGATGGTACGGCCGATGATGCCCAGTGTCAGCTGCTTGGTGGGGTCGTCCGTGTCGTGGGGGAATCGAGCCTCGATGTCATCGGGTCCCAAACATCCTAAGTCGTCTGGCACCTCAACCGTGGTGGCCGCCACCACAGGATGGCCTGCAACACACACACACAGCCACCACACGGCACACACAGAGAAGGAATGTGTGTGCGGATCACATTCTTTCGCCTCTGTCTGTCTGTCTGTCTGTCTGGCGCACCGTCCTCCTCATTGTCGTCGTCGTCGTCATCGAAGCCGTCGCCCAGCGGCCCACCGTCGTCATCACTGTCATCCTGCACACCATCCTGCCACAACAAAGAGAGAGAGTGAGAGTGAGAAACACTGCTGACGCTCGTCGCATGGGGCGGCTGGCGCTGTCAATGAGTGACTCACCGATTCGGATTCGCTATCAGCTGCCGCCTGTAGACCTTCTCCCTCCTCCTCGGCCATCTCGCCGTCCTCCTCATGCGACAAATCTGAAACGAAGACATTCAAACACATTCGTAACCAAAGCGAAAATGAGTGTGCTACTGGTGTGTTGATCAGTCTGTGTGGCGGGCTGTTGACTCACCACTGTCAGCGTCACTGTCGTCTTGCCCGTCTGGCTGCCCGCCGCCATTGTTGTCCTCCTCAGCCACATCGTCTGCACACACCATCGAAGGCACACACACACACACGTGTGGCGCTGATGCTGTGTGTTTGATGTGTCACATTCATCTGTGTGTGGCGTACCCGCATCGCCACCGTCACCGTCCGCCATGGCAGCGGAGGCCATGTGGCTGTCGTGACCGTCGGACATCTCACTCAAACAGACACCAACAGCTGCACCGACCACACACACAGAGAGGCGACAAGAGATGGGCAGACACCTGCTGGATGTCTTGTGTCGTGTCTGTGCTCGCCCCACCTAGCTATGAGTCAAATGGTACAAAGGCACTCAATCAGTCCGCCCCGTCACCAAGGCCGACCTGCAGAACACGACACACAACACACGAAGGCCGCACATCACCTGACGACTAGTGGTGAACGAATCGCCGTACCGTCGGATGGCTCTCTCCTGCTAAGCGCCGCGATGATAATTCCCCAGAGAAGGCCTCCAGCGATGGGAAGGAGGCCCGTCCGTCCAAGAGAAATGTCAGAGTGATAGCCAAACGGATGGGCGGAGGGATGGACGTGACCTCAGTGAGTCCCTCCCTTCGTCATCTTTCCTTCCCCTTCCTCCTCTCCCTGTGCCTCGTCTGCGAGCTTTTTGATCCGACCGCCGAGAAAGGAGGTGACAAAGAACCCCGTTTGAAGAGATCTATGACAGGCAGCACACGAGCAGGCAATCTGGATCGACAAAAGCTGAAAGTGACGGCGAAAAACCGACACGAGCGACCCTGGCCGCGAAGTAACCCAGCCGTCGGTCGTTTGAGAGGCCATTTTTTGACGTTTTGAGCCTTCCCGCGATACGTTTTGAGCCTTCCCGCGATGGCGCAGCCTCAGCCCGAAGGTATCAATGCGCAGACGGCTCGACAGTTACCATGGAAAAGCCGAACGTTGCATGTGCTGCAGGCAAGGCATCTGTGGCCACCGGCGAGTCAGCCACGACCTCTCAGCAGCAGCAGCCGTCGGGTCCCCTCGCCATGGCAACAGCGGCTGCCGTCGGCATCACGGGCAATGGCAATGGCAACGGCGGACACGAGCCTGACATCAGCTCAGCTGCCGGCGGATGGATGGATGGATGTCCTCTCTTCCGCGTGTTGTCGTCGCTGCAGTGTCTGCTGGTGAGGGTCGTGTGTACGGGCAGCGGGAGTGGAAACTGATCACCCCGTGGCTCAAGGGTGCTGGACACACACACGGCACATCCACCATCCACAGCGAGCCGTGTTTGCAATGGTCCTCCTTGGCTGTGTATGGTCTGTGTGTGCAGTTGGTGACAAGGTGAGTGTGCTCAACGCCAATCCGCTGTACGTGGAGGCCGAGTGCGTCGAGGGCGACCGCAAGGGCGTCACCGGCAGGTTCATGTCCAAATGCGTCAACTCCGACAACACATTCGTCGGTACGTCGGCAGCCGCCCAAAGCGCAGAGAGGGGGAGGGAACTATGCAGAGCGGTCTGGTGTGTTGTGTTGTTGGGTCTGTCAGGTGAGATCGTGATGCCTAGTGGTGGTGGTGACGTTAGTGCTGCTGCTGCTGCGGGTACGAATTTCAATACTCAGACGATAACCGACACACACACCTATGAGGCCTCCTCCGTCTCCTCCGTGTTGCAGGTTCGTTCTCGATGGCGTATCCCGGTCCGTCTGTGTCGGCCTACCCCGCCGTGCAGACCGCACTCAGCCACTACGGCTACTACCCAACGCCATACAACGGAGGAGAGGGTGAGGGGAGCACACCGACACGCTGGACGAGGACGGGTGTACACGTGTGTCTGCCCCTTTGGCAGGTCCGCGTGTGCCGGGGGCGGGTACCATGGTGCAGGAGGTGATCGTGGAGAGACCCAATGGCGGCGTCATGCAGGGTGAGTGGGTGGACAGAGGGGCGCGGGAGGAGGGTGGCGGCATCGGGTCATACGTCTGTGTGTCTGTGTGTCTGTCTGTCTGTCTGTTGTGTGTAGGTTTCCGTCCGATGGTTGGTGACATGCCGAGCTACGCTGCGCCCTTCACAAGCATGCCCGGCTACTTGGCTTACCTGACAGGTACATGGCCCTCCCCCCTCTCCCCTTCCCCATCCCCGCACACACATGTCCGTGTGCAACGATCCCATCCACCCCCCTGTGTGTGTGTAGATGCTGACGAGAAGGCCAAGGTGATGAGTAAGTTGTTGAGCGCTACGGCCCCTGCCGACATCAGAGCGGCGGTGCAGGAGTACATCCAGCCCATTCTGCCCGTCGCCTGGGTATCCAAAGTCTGCGCCAACATGGTCATCGAATACTGCAAAGCCAAAGTAAGCCGGGATGGCTGGATGGACACAAGAGACCGAGACACATTGCGTGTGTTGGCTTCCCCTTTGTCAGCTGACGTCTGAGGTGCTGGTGGGTCTGGGGAGCGACCCCGCTCCCCCGGCCAAGGCCATCGCACTCGTGCAGGGGCTCTCCGCCGCCCTGCCGTCGCTCACCGAGACCGCCCCGCCCCCCGACAGCAACACGCCCCTGGCCATCCTGACAACGCCCGCATTCCACAAGGCCATCGCCGACGTAGACATCGACGCCATCGACGAGAACACATACACAAAGCTGCGGGACCTCCTCATGTCCGAGTACGGAACTAACGAAGAGGTCATTGTGGTCATTATGTCCCTCCCTGTGTGTGCATGTTGTCAATGCAGTTCTGAGTTGGTCAACACGTCCTACGTGTATCTGCTGGCGCTGGTGTGGGTGGCGGTGATGCTCCTGCGCAAGACCAAGTACACCAACATCCAGCTGCAGCAGGAGGATCTGGAGCTGTCGACGGACGGCATCGTGGGGGTGGGGCTGGAGGCGTGCTTTGCCCCACTGCCAGTGGGCAGCGGCACGGCCGGCAAGGATGAGAAGGGCGGAGAGGGGGAGGGGGACAAGTGAGTGTCTCTCTCACACACATCACACACATAAGGGAGGGGGTATCTGGGGAGTAGTCAGACGGACGGTAGCCTCGGCAGTTTTTGCAATGAATCCATCCATCCATCTGTGTGTCCGTTGGATCCTTCAGTGCGATGTTTGTGCAGTCTGACGGCATGAGACACCGATCTCAATCGTATGCATGTGTGAATGGATGGATGGATGTGTGTGTGTGTGTGTTTGTCTTCTCCTTTGCCGCCCTGCCTGCCAATCGATTCGCCGTGTCTGGACGTCGCCTCTCCGTGCTTCACCCACCCAGAGGGACGCCTCCTGCCTGCCTGACTGCCTTCCATTTTCTGGCTAAGTCGTCCGTGTGTGTGGTTTGGGTTGTCCGTGTGTGTGCGTGCGTGTAGACCGTTTGCCGACACTTCGGCATGGAGCGACTGGAGGGATGGAATCAGTTCTGATTGGCGCACACACAACAAGTCACACAAACGGACAAATACCACAACGGACACCCTCCCTGTTTACTCAGCTAGATGAAGATCATCATGCAGATGACTAATTGCGTGCGCTACAGCAATGACTGTCCATCCAAAGGCATCCCGAATCACGCCATACGACAAACACACACTTAGTACGCACCTTGGGGCACCACACGTGCCTACCTACAGTCACTCCCCCTCCCTCCCTCCCTCCCTCTTTGTGTGTACAGCAGACCCCTATGCAGCCACCACCTTCTGGCGGACGAGCGCAGCTGTGCGGGGGTACCGCTGATCTGGGCGGCGCTTCCAAGCGACGGGGGGCTCCGTGGTGCAGATCTTCAGGCTCGAGTCAACGCGGACCAGGAAATCATCGGCCGCCTTGTCCCCACAGAGAATGAGGATCGTCCCATCCCACTCCATACTTGCGCCGTCGACCGACCACTCGTCCGCTTTGCGGCAGCCCTTCCACTGGCCCCGTGGCTGCCGCATGACGTCTTGGGTGAGCTGGTACTCCTTGGGAGGTGGAATGATGAGGTCATCTGGGAGCGTGAAGTGGGGGCGCAGACGAAAGTCGAACCCGTTCACGAAATCCCTGTCGATCAAAACGACGATGATATCCGTGAAGGAAGAGTACACGTACTCGTCACCTGCAGACAGACAGCAGAAATGGAAAGGATCCATGCGCTCTGCGTAACCTCTCTCGGCTGCTCACGTTTGGTCGGCGGGTCGGGATCAGTCAAATCGATGCTGACGTAGGTCAGGGGGTCTGTTGACCAGTCGGGCCAGCCCAGATAGTCCTGGCCGTTGACACGGCTCAGATCCACACACTGGCGGACACGGTGACTGAATAGCGAGTACTGGCGCACCGCCGGGGGCCGCGTGTCGAAGACCGCCCGGCTGCCCGCCTGCCGCAGATCGTGTGCCGTGATGGTGATGGGCAGAGAGGGGAGGCGGTGGCTGTTCTTGAGGTAGTAGATGAGCGACACACAGCGGTCCCAGCAGCCGCCCTCCTCGATGACATACAACACCCGCAACAGATAACCCTCCCTGGTGTCGACCAGCCGCAGCACGTCCACCAGGTCATACCAGATTAGACGGCACATTATGCCCAGGCAGACCGGCAACAATATGCCGAGATGCCATCTCATGGCGACAATGACCGGCTGAACGGAAGACTCGTCGCTCGGGGGCCACATCCAGGCGATGCAGATCTCAGAGATGAAAAGCAACGCCAGAGCACAATCGAAGCAGATCACGCCGCCGGACCGCAGAAGGTCAAATGCGTCGCCATACGCCACCGAAAACTGCCGAAACGCTCGCACGACGAAGGACGCCTCCCCAAGCCATCGGATGGCCACGTCAATCACAAGAAACGGAACCACCCAGGCGAGAAGGTAGAGAAGCCCCTGGAAATCCGCGGGAACACAGCCAGCTGCTGCACCAGAAACGGTGTCAGGACGACGGCCCAGCTGTGGATGGACATGTAAATGAAGATGAAGACGCGGAAACCCACGGCTACTTGAACGAACGAGAGTGGAGACCGCACTGAAGATCGCCGCCATCCACTGCAGCAGAATCTGCAGGACCGTCTCGCACCGCTTCTGGTAGGTGAGCACTCCACTAAGGCCCTTCTCGCGAATGGCCGCGTCGAGGCGGTGCGTCAGGTTGACCTCGCTGACCAGCTGGCAGCCGACGCTCTTGGACGAGGCTCGAAGGGCGACGCAGTCATATGCCGTCAGGGAGGCCAGCAGCCGCCTCTCCACATCCTCAGGCAAGCCGACCAACGAGCACGCATCGGCGTCCGTCTGACGTGCACACACACACCCCCGCAGACCCGATAGACCCAGTGGATGCAGGAGTGGCCATGTGTGAGTGGAGTGCTCTCTTACCATTGGTGCCCCTGCTCCGCTACTCGTCATCAGATCCCGCCAGCTCTACTAGATCCTGCACCAAGCACAGCCACATATATATGTGCACGGCGTGCTGGTTGTGTTGTTGTTCTTCGTGTTACCGTGGGCACTGTGTTTGCGCACCGGCATCTGCCGCGATAGAGGATGAGCCCAGGGATGCAAGTATCAGTGACTGTCCTCCGTTCAATGACCACACTCGAGAGTCAGATCCGATCAGCTGCGTACGCAATGCGCGTCAGATCCCCTTTTCTGCCCCCATCTCCCTTTCCCCTTCCGCCACGCGGGCTTCGATGGAACCCCCGCGAACGCGGGTCGACGAACGGGTACGAGGGGGTAGGGGCCCCCTCGTAACGGAAGGCGATCGGAAAGGGACACCTTACAAAATGTCCGGGATCGAAAGGTACAAAATAAACCAGTGATCGCCAGTGGCCAGTGGTTGACCCTTAGGGTATCCGTCAAAAGGCGGCTGGGCAGTGTGAGGCGATTTGGCAGCCATTCCTGAAGATCTGGGGAAGCCGAATGAAGAGGTGCTTGCTCGTGAACGACGATGCTGGCCGAGAAACCGAAAATCGGCTGCACTTGTGTGTGATCTGAAGAGAGGGCACGGACAGCGAAGGGAGGTGGTGAGTCGGACGACGCAATGTCGCCCCCTCCCCCTTGAATGGGGGAGGGGGCTGCAAAAGGTCAGTATCCATCAGTCAGGGGTCACAGGCAGAAGAGAGCACGTCGACCACAGACCGATTGAAGGCGATGATGGCCGTCACGCAGCATTCTGGCACGCAGATCTACTCTCTGAGCACTCCTGTGTCTGCCTGGCAGGTGTGTTGATGTTTCGTTTGGCCGGCCGCATTGCCGCTTTCTCCCTAATTGCACGGTGAGCTGATGGCTGTCATGGAGGATTCTGGCACACAGATCTAGTCGTCTGAGCGCTCCTGTGTTTGCCTGGCAGGTGTGTCGGTGTTTCGTTTGGCCGCATTGCCGCCTTCTCTACTGCACGGTGAGCTGATGGCCGTCTCGCAGGATTCCGGCACACAGATCTACTCGTCTGAGCGCTCCTGTGTTTGTCTGGCAGGTGTGTTGGTGTTTCGTTTGGCCGCATTGCCGCCTTCTCTACTGCACGGTGAGCTGATGGCCGTCACGCAGGATTCCGGCACATAGATCTAGTCGTCTGAGCGCTCTTATGTTTGCCTGGCAGGTGTGTTGATGTTTTGTTTGCCGCATTGCCGCCGTCTCTACTGCACGGTGAGCTGATGGCCGTCACGCAGGATTCCGGCACAGAGATCTAGTCGTCTGAGCGCTCTTTTGTTTGCCTGGCAGGTGTGTTGATGTTTTGTTTGCCGCATTGCCGCCGTCTCTACTGCACGGTGATCGCATGAGCTGATGGCCGCGACGCAGTATTCCAGCTTATACACATATGCTCCCACATGTGTGCTCCGGTATGCGGGTCCTCTCGCATTCATGTGTATGCGCCATTGATTCGTGCATCCACAGCATCTGAGCACAAAGCTCTTGGCGTGTTTTATCGTTAATTAATACGCCGACGGATGGGAATGCAGTGAGTGTCTATACAGCGTACAGGGCATGTCGAGCGGGTCAGCTATATCTGGGTCAGAAGGATAGAAGTGCGAGAGATGTCTGACTACTGCTAAAAGTCTGTTGGGGCCGGTCCGCCGCTCCTCTCCCTTGCTTGTGTCGCACCCTAGCGGTGGGATACCGGTGGTGTAGGATTCATATTGTGTCTTTCTTGGCCGTCCCTCCCTCTATCCCAGTCTGTCTCCCTCCATGCTTCTCTTCACGCCTCCCTTCCAATCGCCTTTTTGCTACCTGCCACGCCCTGTGCCTGCCTTTTTTTATTATGGTATCGCGAAGTCCCACGCGGCAGGTCTTTTTTGCAGATCTGCCACGCTTACGATTAATGATGGGGGGGAGGGGGAAGATTGAGACAAACAGAAGCTGCCGTGTGAACAAACCCCGAAAAGCATGAGAAACCACACGCGTTCCTCCTCGATCGCCTCGACGCGGGAAATTAGGAGGCGGACAGCACACCCTTCTGAGTAGATATAAGACAACCAGCGGGCAAGGAGGCAAACGGAATCGAGAAACCTTCATTCGATTCATTAATTCCTATTCCTGACTTCATGTCGCCTTCTGCCTGGAGCAGCCTTGTGGCCCGTCGGCAGCATGGCTATGGACAATTTCCTCAAGTTCTTCACCTGCCAGGTGTGCCAGGAGATATACATACGAATGCAAGTCGTACGTCGCCCCCTGCGGCCACTCCATCTGCCTCGGCTGCTGCGCAAGCCTCACGGACAACAAGTGAGTGACCGACATGAAGGACCTGGGTACGCCACTCTCACTCGTCATTGTGCAGGTGCCCGACGTGCCGCGTGGCCCTTCCGCCCGCGAGAGAGCGCAAGTTTAGCGTGGATCTGCTGAATGCGGCGCTGAGTGTTGAAGGCGTCACGGAGAGGGAGCGGGAGAAGATCGCCGAGGGGGCGCCGGCCAAGTTCAGGCAGGAGAGCACCGTCATCGCGCTATTCGTCAAGAACCTCAAAGGTGCGGCGGTTGAGAGGGCGGCGTGGCGCCTCAGGTGGCCCTCTTCCACGTGTGTCCGTGTGTTCAGGTGCAACGATGTGCTTTGACATCCGTCCGTCGGCCACTGTGAGGAAGCTCAAGGAGATGGTGAAGGACCGAGAGGGCATCGAGATTGCCCACCAGCGGCTGATCTATGCGGGCAAGCAGCTGGACGACAATGACAAGACGCTCAGGGACTACGGCATCCAGAAGAACGACACCGTGCACCTCGTCCTCCGGCTGAGAGGAGGCTAAGCGGACTGATGGCCCATTCATTTATCAGTGTGACCCACCCGTCGTCAATGCCACTGCATGCGCACTGTACTCTCTTCTTGATGGCATCTCTTTTTTGACGCAGCGCAGCCAGCAGGGAAGTTTCTCGTGTGTGTATTGTAGCGGTGGTGGTGATGCGGTCGTGATGGTGGGGTGTTTGCCGACAGTGGCACACACACGAGAGAGAGTGTTCCTTTCACGTTTATCCCTTGGACACCTTTTTCACTGTCCGACAGCACGGGTGAGGTTGTGCGTAGAGGACTCAGCGTCGCACAAGAGGTGACGCCCGTGTGTGTGGCCGATCGTATGAAGGGACATTCATTAATGCATTCGTCGTATGCACACTCACGAGAGAGAGATAGAAGAGATCCCTTGACACACAACACAACACACATGCACACGCTCACACGCCCTACACAGCCCCCTCCGGTGACAGCAAACGTCTGCTCACATGCAGGCAGCAGCTAAGCCATCGCCGTACGTGTCAGTGGCTGGGTGAGTGATCACGCGATGACATCCCCCATCGACCCTGCCTGCCTCCCTCCGCCCCGCCCTCTCTACTCCCCCACCGCCCGGCGCCATCCAGAGAGATATACCACGCCAATGGCAGACAGACACACAGGCGGGAAGCAGAAGCAATCGATCAAAGAGCACCAGCCGTTCCCTCCAGCCTCCCCCGCCCTCATCTTTCTGTGTGCCTCTCTCATGCGACGCGCTTGATGCCTCGTCACATTCAGCTCCACCACACGTCAACCAAACACAGCCACGTCCAACCGACCCACACCCCTCACGCCACAACACACCACACACACAGCCCACCACTACTGTCCATTGCATCATCGCCATTCCCGCTGTCCGCTGCTGATGTGGGCTGGTGTGAGTTCTGGGCCGCTGCTGGTGCTGGTGCTGGTGTGGGCTACCGGAATGCGGCCCCCAGCTGCTGCCATGTGAACTGGCAGTCGGCATCGCCCAGATGGGTGTTGAAGCCCTTGACCACCGCCCCATCCGCCAGCCCCCACTTGGCCGCCTCGTCCAGCCTGGCCCGATGCACCACCTCAGGCAGACCCACACGGCCACGTGTGTGCACCGCCTCACGCGGACGGCTGTCGACACCCTCCAGCTCGAAGCACCGCAGCTGCGGCACACGCACCACCTGGCCGCCCACATCGGCCGTCCCGCCCACCACCTCCCTGTTGCTGCTGGCCTGGTACACTGCCGACTTGACGAAGCGCTCCGCTGCCGCACACACACGGCGGGCCATGTCGCTGTGCCGCACACCGATGGCCTCACTGACGGCCTCCTGGGCGGCATCCATGTCGAAGAGGTATGACGCGATGCGCCAGCCAAAGACGGGGGCCTCCTGCGGGCCGACGGCCAGCCGGGGGGTCAGGAGGGCCGCGAGGGAGCGGTGGGGGGCGAGGGCGGCGTTGACGGCCACCATGACGGCAGCGGGCAGCTCGTTGAGCACCGCCGCATGCTCCGTCAGCACCAGCTGGCGGCCACGGCGGTCCCTTTGTGTGACTGTGGAGATGGTGTTGATGTCGGCCCCCGCCCGCAGCAGGCTGCGGATGGTGAGCTTGTAGTTGTCGATCTTGGCTCGATACCGCTCCTTGGCCGGCTCTGGTGTGTCCGGGTCCTGGAGCAATTGAGTGCGGTGGTCGAGCTCGTAGGCAGCCCAGGCGAGGGGCGTGTCGCCAGAGTTGTCCCGTCTGTTGATCTCGGCAGCGGGCAGCTTGCGGCAGAGGTAGTCGGCCACGTGGGGAGAGCCACACTCTGCCGCCCAGTGCAGTGGCGTCCATCCGTTGCCGTCGGCTGCCGTCATGTCGGCCCCGTTCGCCGTGATGAGATCCAGGTAGCTGTCGATGAAGCACTGGGGATAGCGCCCTTCCGCTTGTATGGCTGCCCTGTGCACCAGGTTTTTGCCCCAGACGTCTCGTTCGGCAGCGAGGGTGGGGTCTCGTGTGATGAGTTGCCGATACATCGACAGCAGCAGCTCCAGATACTGCGGGGGAGGCGGACGCATGGCATAGGGCAGCTCCATCACCATGGGTGCGTCTGGTGGACGTAGGTCGATTCCGTGCCGCGCCGTCAGGATGTCGAATGCCGTCCGGTTGCCATACGCAATCGCCAATTGGAGGGGCGTCTGTTGGGGATGATCGGCTGCCGCATTGGGGTCGGCTCCTCCGTCGAGGAGTGCGATCAGGACGGCCGATTGCAGCTCGTCAGACGACCACTTTGGCAGGCAGACAAGACGGTCATCACCCTCATCGGCTTCTGCTTGGATGGTCGGGACGGCATAGTCCGAGTTGTTGTCAATGGCGAGATGGACCAGCGAGTAGCCGTAGACGGCACGACGCATGCTGCCCTTCTGCCGCAGTCGAGGCTCCACATGGGGGTCGGCACCCAGCTCGATGAGGTCGGTCGCGTGCTGCGGGGCGGAGATGGTGCGGCCGATGATGCCCAATGCCAGCTGCTTGGTGACCTCGTTGGTGCCCAGGGGGAATCGAGCCTCGATGTCGTTGGCTCCCACACAGCCGTCAGGCACCTCAACCGTGGTGGCCACCAGCACAGGATGGCCTGCAACACACACACACAGCCACCACACGGCACACACAGTGAAGGAATGTGTGTGAGGATCACATCCTCTCGCGTCTGTCTGTCTGTCTGTCTGGCGTACCGTCCTCCTCATAGCCGTCGTCTTCATCGCTCTCGTTGTCGTCATCGATGCCGTCGTCGTCGTCGCCCAGCGGCCCACCGTCGTCATCACTGTCGTCCTGTACACCATCCTGCCACAACAAAGGGAAAAAGTGAGAAACACTGCTGACGGTCGTCGCATGGGGCGGCTGTTGCTGTCAATGAGTGACTCACCGATTCGGATTCGCTATCAGCTGCCGCCTGTAGACCTTCTCCCTCCTCCTCGGCCATCTCGCCGTCCTCCTCCTCACCCAACAAATCTGAAACGAAGACATACCAACACATTCGTCAACAAAGCAAAAATGAGTGTGCCACTGGTGTGTTGATGAGTCTGTGTGGCGTGCTGTTGACTCACCACTGTCAGCGTCATTGTCGTCTTGCCCGTCTGGCTGCCCGCCGCCGTTGTTATCCTCCTCAGCCACATCGTCTGCACACACAATCGAAGGCACACACACACACACGTGTGGCGCTGATGCTGTGTGTTTGATGTGTCACATTCATCTGTGTGTGGCGTACCCGCATCGCCACCGTCACCGTCCGCCATGGCAGCGGAGGCCATCTGGCTGTCGTGACCTCCAGACATCTCACTCAAACAGACACCAACAGCTGCACCAACCACACACACACAGAGAGGCGACAAGAGATGGGCAGACACCTGCTGCATGTGTCGTGTGTGTGCTCGCCCACCTAGCTATGAGTCAAATGGTACAAAGGCGCTCAATCAGTCCGCCCCGTCACCAAGGCCGACCTGCACAACACGACACCGACACACAAAGGCAGCAAGGCACATCACGACTACTGGTGAACGAATCGCCTGAGCGCGTACCGTCGGGTGGCTCTCTCCTGCTAAGCGCCGCGATGATTAATTCCCCAGCGAAGGCCTCCGGCGACAGAGAGGAAGGAGGCCCGTCCATGAGGAAACGTCAGAGTGATAGCCAAACGGATGGGCGGAGGGATGGACGTGACGTCAGGAGTCCCTCTGGGACGGACGTGACGTCAGGGAGTCCCTCGTCTTTCCTCTCCCTTTTCCCTTTCCCTTTTGCCTGTCTGCGAGCTTATTCGATCAGACCGGTGCGAGAGCGATAAAGGATCCCGTTTGAAAAGATCTGAGACAGGCAGCACACGAGCAGGCAATCCGGACCGACAAAAGCTGAAAGTGACGGCGAAAAACCGACCCGAGCGACCCTGGCCGAAGCGACCCAGCCGTCCTTCGTCATTTTGGTTCTCGCGATGGCGCAGCCCCAGTCCGAAGGTATCAATGCTCAGATGGGTCGACGCTAACCATGGAAAAGCCGACTGTTGCATGTGTTGCAGCCAAGGCATCTGTGGACGCCGGCGAGTCCGCCACGACCTCTCAGCAGCAGCAGCCGTCGGGTCCCCTCGCCATGGCAACAGCGGCTGCCGTCGGCACCACGGGCAATGGCAATGGCAACGGCCGATACGGTAAGCCTGACATCAGCTGCCGGCGGATGGATGGATGGATGGATGGATGTCCTCTCTTCCGCGTGTTGTCTGTCGTTGCTGCAGTGTCTGTTGGTGAGGGTCGTGTGTACGGGCAGCGGGAGTGGAAACTGATCACCCCGTGGCTCAAGGGTGCTGCACACACACGGCACACCCACCATCCAGAACGAGCCGTGTTTGCAATGGTCCTTGGCTGCGTGTGGTCTGTGTGTGCAGTTGGTGACAAGGTGAGTGTGCTGAACGCCAATCCGCTGTACGTGGAGGCCGAGTGCGTCGAGGGCGACCGCAAGGGCGTCACCGGCAAGTTCATGCCCAAATGCGTCAACTTCGACAACACATTCGTCGGTACGTAACACATTCGTCGGTACGTCGAATGTGTTATCGAAAACTAGGAGGAGGGGGTGAGGTGGACACACCGACGACCTGGATGGGGGACGCCGCATCAGTGCGTGTGCGTGGGAGACATGGGGTATGGCGATGAACGAGGGTGCTCTGTGCGTGGGTGTGTGCATTTTCAGATGTTGCTGAGGCCGGCGCTGCCCCGAAGGCGAAAGTAGGCAGCACCACAGCACTACACAGCACCCCTCCATGGCCATGCACACCACACACCACACACCACCACACCATACGGAGGGAGATCCAGACGATGACCGTCCTGTGCTCCACCCTTCCCTTGTGTGTCATTGTCGTGTGTGGTGCAGGCCAAGGGGAAGGGCGAGGCCAAGTCTGGTGGTGGCAAGGCGGGTGCTGCCCCGAAGCACCCTTCGTTTGAGGAGATGATCAAGGAGGCCATCGGCACACTCAAGGACCAGTCAGGCAGCAGCCTGTTCGCCATCAAGAAGTTCATCCAGGCCAAGTACTCCCTCGACGTCGAGGACGCACGCACCAAGCACCACCTCAGCCGCTCACTCTATAAGCCAAGAAACTCATCATGGTATGTACAGGGGGAGGGTAGATGATAATGGTGTGGTGGGATGGTGTGGTGTGGTGTGGTGTGGTGGGTGCATCTCGACGTGTGGCGTGTGTTGGTGTGTTGTGTGCAGATCAAGGCGTCGTACAAGTTGAACATGAACGTGGGCTGCCAAGATTGGCCGCCGCTGAGGGTACGCACGCACCCCACACAAACCACACACCACACCACACCACACCTTCAGTGTGATGTATGTGTAGTCTGACGACATGAGACACTGATCTCTATCGTATGCATGTGTGGATGGATGGATGGATGGATGTGTGGATGTGTGTGTTTGTCTTCTCCTTTGCCGCCCTGCCTGCCAATCGATTCGCCGTGTCTGGGCGTCGCCTCTCCGTTCTTGACCCATGCAGAGCGACGCCTCCTGCCTGCCTGCCTTCTATTCCCTGACTGGCTAAGTCGTCCGTGTGTGTGGTTTGGGGTGTCCGTGTGTGTGCGTGTGTGTGGACCGTTTGCCGACACTTTGGCATGGAGCGACTGGATGGATGGAGTGAGAATTGATTGATGCACACACAGCAAGTCACACGAACGAACAAATACCGCAACAGACAGACATGCCCCCACTCCCTGTCTACTCAGCTAGATGAAGATCATCATGCAGATGACTAATGCATGCGCTGCAGCAATGACTGACTGTCCATCCAAAGGCATCCCGAATCACGCCATACGACAAACACAGACTTAAGTACCAGCACCTTTGTGGCACCACACGTACCCACTCACCTGCAGTCACTCCCCCTCCCTCCCTCCCTCCCTGTGTGTATGGCCAGCAGCCGACCCCTACGCCGCCACCTTCTGGCGAACGAGCGCAGCTGTCTGGGGGTACCGCTCATCTGGGCGGCGCTTCCAAGCAACGGGGGGCTCCGTGGTGCAGATCGTCAGGCGCGAGTCAACGCGGACCAGGAAATCATCGGCCGCCTTGTCCCCACACAGAATGAGGATCGTCCCATCCAACTGCATACTTGCGCCGTCGACCGACCACTCGTCCGCTTTGCGGCAGCCCTTCCACTGGCCCCGTGGCTGCCGCATGACGTCTCGGGTGAGCTGGTACTGTTTGGGAGGTGGAATGATGAGGTCATCTGGGAGCGTGAAGTGGGGGCGCAGACGAAAGTCGTTCCCGTCCACGAAATCCCTGTCGATCAAACGGACGATGATATCCGTGAAGGAAGAGTATACGTACTCGTCACCTGCAGACAGACAGCAGACATGGAAAGGATCCATGCGCTCTGCGTGATCTCTCTCGGCTGCTCTGCTCACGTTTCGTCGGCGGGTCGGATTCGGTCAAATCGATGCTGACGTACGTCAGCGCACCGGTGTCTGTTGACCGGTCGGGCCAGCCCAGATAGTCCTGGCCGTTGACACGGCTCAGATCCACACACTGGCGGACACGGTGACTGAATAGCGAGTACTGGCGCACCGCCGGGGGCCGCGTGTCGAATACCGCCCGGCTGCCCGCTCGCTGGAGATCGTGTGCCGTGATGGTGATGGGCAGAGAGGGGAGGCGGCGGCTGTTCTTGAGGTAGTAGATGAGCGACACACAGCGGTCCCAGCAGCCGCCCTCCTCGATGACGTACAACACCCGCAACAGATAACCCTCCCTGGTGTCGACCAGCCGCAGCACGTCCACCAGGTCATACCAGATTAGACGGCACATTATGCCCAGGCAGACCGGCGACAACATGCCGAGATGCCATCTCATGGCGACAATGACCGGCTGAACGGAAGACTCGTCGCTCGGGGGCCAAATCCAGGAGATGCAGATCTCAGAGATGAAAAGCAACGCCAGAGCACAATCGAAGCAGATCACGCCGCCGGACCGCAGAAGGTCACATGCGTCGCCATACGCCACCCAAAACTGCCGAAACGCTCGCACGACGAAGGACGCCTCCCCAAGCCATCGGATGGCCACGTCAATCACAAGAAACGGAACCACCCAGGCGAGAAGGTAGAGAAGCCACTGGATGGGCCACTGAATCCACGGGAACACAGCCAGCTGCTGCACCAGAAACGGTGTCAGGACGACGGCCCAGCTGTGGATGGACATGTAAATGAAGATGAAGACGCGGAAACCCACGGCTACTTGAACGAGAGTGGAGACCGCACTGAAGATCGCCGCCATCCACTGCAACAGAATCTGCAGGACCGTCTCGCACCGCTTCTGGTAGGTGAGCACTCCACTAAGGCCCTTCTCGCGAATGGCCGCGTCGAGGCGGTGCGTCAGGTTGACCTCGCTGACCAGCTGGCAGCCGACGCTCTTGGACGAGGCTCGAAGGGCGACGCAGTCATATGCCGTCAGGGAGGCCAGCAGCCGCCTCTCCACATCCTCAGGCAAGCCGACCAACGAACACGCATCGGCGTCCGTCTGACGTGCACACACATCCCCACGCAGACCCGACAGACCCAGTGGATGCAGGAGTGGCCATGTGTGAGTGGAGTGCTCTCTCACCATCGGTGCCCCTGCTCCGCTACTCGTCATCAGATCCCGCCAGCTCTACTAGATCCTGCACAAAGCACAGCCACATATATATGTGCACGGCGTGCTGGTTGTGTTGTTGTTCTTCGTGTTACCGTGGGCACTGTGTTTGCGCACCGGCATCTGCCGCGATAAGGATGAGCCCAGGGATGCAAGTATCAGTGACTGTCCTCCGTTCAATGACCACACTTGAGAGTCAGATCCGATCAGCTGCGTGCAATGCGCGACAGATCCCCTTTTCTGCCCCCATCTCCCTTTCCCCTTCCGCCACGCGAGCTTCGATCGCCTCGACGCGGGAAATTAGGAGGCGGACAGCAGACCCTTCTGAGTAGCTATAAGATGACCAGCGGGCAAGGAGGCGAACGGAAGCGAAAAGCTTTCATTCGATTCATTAATATTCCTATTCCTGACGTCATGTCGCCTTCTGCCTGGAGCAGCCTTGTGGCCCGTCGGTAGCATGGATATGGACAATTTCCTCAAGTTTTTCACGTGCCAGGTGTGCCAAGAGATATACTCGGACGAACGCAAGCCGTACGTCGCCCCCTGCGGTCACTCCATCTGCCTCGGCTGCTGTGCAAGCCTCACGGACAACAAGTGAGTGACCAACATGAATGGCCTGGGTATACCGCCACTCTCACTCGTCATTGTACAGGTGCCCGACGTGCCGCGTGGCCCTCCCATCCGCGAGAGAGCGCAACTTCAGTGTGGATCTGCTGAATGCGGCGCTGAGTGTTGAAGGCGTCACGGAGAGGGAGCGGGAGAAGATCGCCGAGAGGGTGCTGGCCAAGTTCAGGCAGGAGAGCACCGTCATCGCGCTGTTCGTCAAGAACCTCAAAGGTGCGGCGGTTGAGAGGGCGGCGTGGCGCCTCAGGTGGCCCTGTTCCACGTGTGTCTGTGTGTTCAGGTGCAACGATGTGCTTTGACATCCGTCCGTCGGCCACTGTGAGGAAGCTCAAGGAGATGGTGAAGGGCCGAGAGGGCATCGAGATTGCCCACCAGCGGCTGATCTATGCGGGCAAGCAGCTGGACGACAATGACAAGACGCTCAGGGACTACGGCATCCAGAAGAACGACACCGTGCACCTCGTCCTCCGGCTGAGAGGAGGCTAAGCGGACTGATGGCCTATTCATTCATCAGTGTGACCCAACCGTCGTGAATGCCACTGCATACGGACTGTACTCTCTTGATGGCGTCTCTTTTTTGACGCTTCCTTCTATTCGATGAGATGAATGAAACGCATTGCCATGCAGCGCAGTCAGCAGGGTTAATTGTGTGTATTGTAGCGGTGGTGGTGGTGGTGGTGTGGGTGTGTCAGTGGGTTGTTTGCCGACAGTCGCACACAAGAGAGAGAGAGAGAGTGTGTAAGGCTGTGCGTAGAGGACTCAGCGTCGCACGAGAGGTGACGCCCGTGTGTGTGGCCGATCGTATGAAGGGACATTCATTAACGCATTCGTCGTATGCACACTCACGAGAGAGAGATAGAAGAGATCCCTTGACACACAACACAACACACATGCACACGCTCACACGCCCTACACAGCCCCCTCCGGTGACAGCACACGTCTGCTCACATGCCCGCAGCAGCAGGTAAGCCATCGCCGTACGTGTGAGTGAGTGGGTGAGTAAACACGCGATGACATTCCTCCCTCATCGGATCCTGCCTGCCTGCCTGCCTCCCTCCGCCCCGCCCTCTCTACTGTCCCACCGCCCGGCGCCATCCAGAGAGATGTACCACGCCAATGGCAGACAGACACACAGGCAGGAAGCAGAAGCAATCGATCAAAGAGCACCAGCCGTTCCCTCCAGCCTCCCCTGCCCTCATCTTCATGTGTGCCTGTCTCGTGTAAGGCGCAGTGGTCTCTATGTGACGCGCTTGATGCCTCGTCACATTCAGCTCCACCACACGTCGATCAAACACAGCCACGTCCAACCGACCCACACCCCTCACGTCACAACACCACCACCACACAGCCCACCACTACTGCTCCGTTGCATCATCGCCATTCCAGCTATCCGCTGCTGTGGGCTGGTGTGGGCTGTTGGGTCGCTGCTGGTGCTGGTGCTGGTGTGGGCTGGTGCAATGCGGCCCCTAGTTGCTGCCATGTGAACTGGCAGTCGGCATCGCCCAGGTGGGTGTTGAAGCCCTTGACCACCGCCCCATCCGCCAGCCCCCACTTGGCCGCCTCGTCCATCCTGGCCCGATGCACCACCTCACGCAGACCCACACGACCACGAGTGTGCACCGCCTCACGCGGACGGCTATCGATACCCTTTAGCTCGAAGCACTGCAGCTGCGGCACACGCACCACCTGGCCGCCCACATCGGCCGTCCCGCCCACCACCTCCCTGTTGCTGCTGGCCTGGTACACCACCGAGCGGACGAAGTGCTCCGCTGCCGCGCACAGACGGCGGGCCATGTCGCTGTGCCGCACACCGATGGCCTCACTGATGGCCTCCTGGGCGGCATCCATGTCGAAGAGGTATGACGCGATGCGCCAGCCGAAGATGGGGGCCTCCTGCGGGCCGACGGCCAGCCGGGGGGTCAGAAGTGCCGCGAGGGAGCGGTGGGGGGCGAGGGCGGCGTTGACTGCCACCATGACGGGGGGACCCACCTTGTTGAGCACTGTGGCGTACTCGGTCAGCACCACCTGGCGGCCACAGCGGTCCCTCTCTGTGGCTGTGGGGATGCTGCTGATGTCGGCCCCCGCCCGCAGCAGGCTGCGGATGGTCAGCTTGAAGTTGTCAATATCGGCGCGATACTTCTCCTTGAAGTGCTCGGGTGTGTTGGGGTCCTGCAGGTGTCGGATGCGGCGATCGAGCCATCCGGCAGCCCAGGCGAGGGGCGTCTGGCCTTGGTTGTCCTGTCTGTTGATCTGGTCAGCGGGCAGCTTGCGGCAGAGGTAGTCGGCCACATGGGGAGAACCGATGAAGGCCGCCTTGTGCAATGGCGTCTGCCCACCGGCATCGCCTGCCGTAATGTCGGCGCCGTTCGCTGTGATGAGGTCCAGGTAGGCGTTGATGAAGGACGGGGGATGGCGCCCCTTTGAGTTGATGGCTGCCCAGTGCACCAAATTGAAGGCGCCGTTGTCGTGTTCGGTGGCGAGGGTGGGGTCTCGTCGGGCGAGTCGCTCATACATCGACATGAGCCGCTGCAGATACTCGGGGGGAGGCAGACGCAGTGGGCGGGGCAGCTTCATCACCATGTGAGCGTCTGCTGCGTACAGGTCGATGCCTTGACGAGCCCTCAGGATGTCGAAGGCCTTCTGATTGCCGGATGCAATCGCCACTTGGAGGGGCGTCTGTTCGGTCTCGTCGGCTGCCACATTGGGGTCGGCTCCTCCGTTGAGGAGTGCGCTCAGGACGGCCGACTGCAGCTCGTCAGACGACCAGTGTGGCAGGGCGACGGGACGGGGGACAGCAAAATCGTTTTCGGCTTGGATGGTCCGGACGGTGCAGTCCGACTTGTTGTCAATGGCGAGACACAGGGGTGGGTAGCTGTAGACCGCACCACTGCTATCCCTGACCACACCGGTCATGACATCTGGGTCGGCGCCCTGCTGCCGATGAGGTCGGTCATTTGCCGTGCGTCGGTGAAGCGCCGGCCGATGATCCACCGTGACAGCTCCTTGGTGGCGTCGTTGGTGCCCTTGAGGAACCAAGCCTCTAGCTCATCGAGTCCGATGTGGCCGTCCGGCACGGGAACAGTGGGATCCGCCAGGCCACTGAGAGGATGACCTGCAACACACACACAGCCACCACACAACGGACAGTGATTCTGCGCGCAGGATCTTTTCTCGCGTCTGTCTGGCGTACCTTCCTCCTCATATTCAATGTAGTCGTCGTCGAAGTATCCGTCATCGATATCGTCATCTTGGTCGCCATCACCATCCTCGTCCTGCATGCCATCCTGACACACAACAAAGAGGCAGAGGGGCGGAAAATGACTCAAGGGCCTCCATCGCATGGACCAGTGTTGGTGTCGATGAGTGCCTCACCGATTCGTCTCCATCGGCTGCCTGCGGACCATCATCACCGTCGGCCATCTCATTGGCCATCGCGCCCTCCTGCTGCTGCTGGCCGCCTGGACACCAACACACACACCCTCACCGACCTGGCGTGAGTGTGCTGCTGATGTGAGTGCGCGTCGAATGGTCTGTGTGGCAGGTCTGATCACTCACCGCTGTCTGAGCCATTGCAATCTGATTCCTCCGCCTGTCCCCTGCCGCTATGCTCCTCCTCAGCCACATCCTCTGAAGACACACACACACACGTGTGGCGCTGATGCTGTGTGTTTGATGTGTCACATTCATCTGTGTGTGGCGTAAACGCATCGTCACCGTCACCGTCAGCCATGGCAGCGGAGGCCATGTGGCTGTCGTGACCGTCGGACATCTCACTCAAACAGACACCAACAGCTGCACCGACCACACACACAGAGAGGCGACAAGAGATGGGCAGACACCTGCTGCATGTGTCGTGTCTGTGCTCGCCCCACCTAGCTATGAGTCAAATGGTACAAAGGCACTCAATCAGTCCGCCCCATCACCAAGGCCGACCTGCACAACACGACACCGACACACAAAGGCAGCAAGCCACGTCATGACTCGTGGTGAACGAATCGCATCGCACTCACTGCCGGATGAGAGCTGCTAAGCCGCGCGATGATCAAATTCGCTCGTCAGCCAGAGCAGGCCAGTTCACTGCCGCCAGCCGAGAAATGTCTTAAGAATGATGGCTGAAGTGGATGGAGGGACTCAACCACTTCTCTGTTTGTCACAGCGGCTCACGGCGAGGGCCTCTAAGCAGCGAAGCTCCGCTCCCTCGTCCGCCTGTTAGGTTAGAGCTGAAGGAGCCAAACCCATCTCACATGGGGGCCAGAGAAGTCCTTAGATGGCTCCGCCGAAAGATCTAGGCCAAGCACAAGGTGGCGACTTTAAGTCAAGGAGGCCACAGTTTGCGGTGGTGCGGCGAATCGATGAGTATCTGACACCGATAGAGTCACAGTGCGCCTGTCTGTCCCCTGACTGCACGCACAGCAGCACTACGCTGCGCATGGCAGCAGCTCACCATCCCGCACCATGCTCTTAGCACACTCACCAGACACCAGACCAGATACCAACCAATGCATCTCACCACACACCACGCCCCGTTCCGCTGTCTGTCTAGCTTCTCATGGCGGGCGGCAGGAGGGTCGCCGACCCCTCGCTGCGGTAGTAGCCATCAGGGGCCTGTGAGATAGTGCAGACCGACCACATGCATACAGCGCACCCATGCCTGACAGTCCATCTCTCTGTCTGTCTGTCTGTCTGTCTGTCTTTCCTTCTTGCCCACCAGGGACATCATGCTACAGAGGTCCACATGAGTCACAACCTGCTTGCCGAAACAGAGGTCCTGACACACACAACACACAAATGTGTGATGCATAGCAGCTCCCCTGCCTGTCTGCCTGCCTGCCTGTCACCATATCAGGGATGATCTCTGTGTAGTTGGAAATGTCGATGCTCAGCCTACAGACACAGACGTTCGCACGACCACTCGGACTGTGGTGTGTGCGTGTCACTCACTGTCGGCTCTTCCTGCTGCCTTTCTTCTCGCCCCTCTGCCTCTTCTTCGCTGCCTGGGAGGTCTTGAAGATCGTCATGTGCGGCGTGAACTCCACCTCATCTCTGTCAGATGGACGCCGGCGACTCGCCTTCTCACGATCCCCTTTCTTGCCCCACTTGGTCCTCTCCCGCCGTCTCCCCGAGCGAGCCCACACGTCCCCTGCGTCGTCATCTGCATGATGGAGCGGCTCCTGCTCCTGCGCATCGCAATTAGCAGCGCGAGCATCGGCATCCTCTTGGATCAAGGAAGACGACGAAGCGGCCGGTGCCGGTGCTTCAGGTGTTGCATGCTCCTCAGCTGGCCGCTTGACGCGCCACTCCTTGTGGGATTGTGGGTGGCTCGACTGGCTCGGCTGGCCCTTCTGTTTCTTGCGCTTCTTGCCCTTCTGAGGTTGCGCCTCGTGCTTGCTCCTGAATGCCTGAGGCATGCCGGCCGCCTCCATGGCCGCAGCCTCAACATCCTCTCCGGCATTATCCTCCTGTTGTTCGACGGTCTCGTCCTTGTGTTGCATGGTGGTGTCGTCCTCTTGCCCAGCGTCGGCACTGGAAGCAGCAGCAGCAAGAGCAGCAGCCAGTGGGATGATGGGGCCTTCCTCCCCTTCGGAGTCGCTCGACGGCGGCAGCTCGGGCTCATCCGGCAGCACCTCCACCGCCGCCATGTCTGACGGATGGTCCTGCTCGTCCTCCTCCTCCTCCTCCTCCTCCTCGTCGTGGTTGGACTGGGTCTGTCGCTGCTGCTCCTGTTGCTGTTGCCGTCGCCGCCCCTTGCCCTTCTTGGTGGTGGGCAGGAGGCCCTCACTCTCGAATGCCTTCGTCAGCTCCTGGTTGAGCAGCGTAAGCACGGACAGCGACTCGTCAGACACACCGCCTGAAGGACAAGGCACAAGGGAAGGAGGTATGGGGAGCGTCGGCGTCGTCGTTGCGGACTGACCGAAAAGCACTCGTGTGCCGAATGTGGCCACCTTCATGACATCGACTTCCAGTGGCTCTGTGAGGGAGAGCTGCTCGAGTGCACACTCAACACCTGAGAGCGGGAAGAGGGCAAAGCCAGGAATCGATCCAGTTAGTTGCCCATCCAGGTCAAGATAATATGGTGCTCTGTTAGATCCATCCCTCTCTCACTGACTCACCTTTCTCCATGGCCCGGAGGGCGTTTGGGATGTCGCGCTTCTCCAGCGGCAGCACCACCAACGCTGCAAGCACAACGTACGTAGCAATGACAGGAAAGATGCACGATGCACCGCCCGCCCAGTCATCTCCATGCACTTACAGTAGTGCAGCTTGATGGGCTTGATGGCGCATTGCTCGAGGTCAGGCGAGACGGCGATGATTTTCTGCTGCAGATCTTCAACCTTGTCCACTATCTCTTTCGCGTCCACGCGAACCGCTGCATACACCACAACCACACACAGGCAATTAACGACGGGCGTGAGAAGGAAGGCAGCCGAAGCCGCGCATTCATTCATTCACTGCCTACAGACGAAGTGAGTCGGCTTGCGCTTGACCGCCTTCCGCTTCTTGACAGCCGAGGCATCTGCCTCGCTCAACGCTCTTTGCTTCATGGCGATGTCGAGGTACTCCGGATAGAGGCCGCACGTCAGCGAACTGCTCAGCGTCGGCCAGTCGCGCAGCAGAAACAGGAAATGAGTGCGCGGCGCTGCCAAGCTGTGCTTTGGAGATCTCCAAGCAGCCAATCTGCTCACCAACTGACCCATCTCTTCTTTTTCTTTCTTGGACCGTCCCGGCCTTCCAGCTCGCAAATTTAAGCTCGCAGACGGCTGGTGGCGCGGAAAGGAGAATGAGGCTGTGGCACACACACTGAGAGCATCCCGCTAGGCAGGGTCCTCAACATCTCCTTTGTTCCCCCTCGGCCACGATGGCATCTCATCACCCGCCTCCGCTGGCCAGCCTTGGCTCAGAGGGCCTCCTCATGGTGGCATTGGTGTGTGTCGTGCTGTGGATGAGCGCCGTGGCTGAAGATTCGGCCTCAGTGATGGAGAAGAGCGCCTCGTTACATCGCACGGTTGACAGCCCAAGCAGCAGGGAGACGTACGGTGATGCAGAGTATGTCAGGTGAGTCAAACGGACGACCTGAATGAGAGATCTGGGCAGGCAGGCGTGGAAGTGTGTGTGTTCGTGTTGGTTGTCTGTCTGTCTGTTTGTTTGTCTGTGTCAGTGCCGACGTGTCTGAGGGTGAGGTGGAGTGGCAGAAGGCCAAGGCGCTTCACGAGGCCGACAGGTTCAGCGCCGCAGCTGCAGTCCTCAAGAAATGCGCACCAAGCAACGCCAAGTAAGGGAGGCACCGCAGCCAGCAGCCAACCGACCGGCCACAATACACTCATGAGCAGAGCAGTCCCATTTCATCTCTCTCTTTTCGTCTGTCTGTGTATCAATCAGCTGCCAGAATCTGCTGGGTCGATACGCTCTCACAGGGCAGGGCGGCTATCCGCAGAATCTCACTATGGCCCTGGCGCACTGGACGGACGCCGCAGACAACGGCCACGCGGACGCGCAGTTCTCACTCGCCCTCTTTTACAGCAACTTCTTCACACACCAGTACACCTCGAGCACCGACAGCGAATCGTATGAGCGGGACGAGGCGCAGGCGGTGCTGCACCTCTATGCCGCATCGTTTGCCACCCATCCTGGTGCGCACGCCACGCCAATCGGATGTCCGATTGGGAAGGGAAGCCCGTCCGTCTGTTTGTTCATCTCATCTGGTTCTCACCCCACTCTGTCTGTCTGTCTGTCTGTCTGTCTGTGTGGGCGGGGCGGGGCGGCAGGTGCGTTGATGGCTTTGGGGTACCGGCATTTGCACGGGTACGGTGTGCCTCGTGTATGTCTGACGTCTGCGCTCAACTACATCGAGGTGGCCAAGCGGATCACCCAGGTCTACAGCATGGGGCTGCCGCAGGCACTCGAGCTCGTCAGGCTGGGCGTACACAACCCCAAGTCGCCACACAGCAGGGCCAAACAGGGCGAACTCGCCATACTCATACAACTCGCGGAAAAGGTATCTATGCTGGGCGGTGCACAGCACACACGAGGGTGGGTGCGGTGCGCACGCGTCTGTCAGTGTCCTTTCGGCGGCTGGTGTGTTTATTTCTCTCTCTCTCTCTCTCTCTGTCTGTCAGGGCGATTTGTCGATGCAGGCAGCAGTTGGCAAGAGGTATCTGTTGGGCATCGATGGCTTCAAGCAGGATTACGCCGAGGCCCGCAAGTTCCTCAGGATGGCCGCAGCAAACGCAAATTACCCACCAGAGCCAAAAACCAGAAGCAACGCACTTGCACTCCTCGGCTACGTCTACGCCATGGGACTCGGCGTCGAGACGGTCGCATGCACAGCGCGGCCTGGCTCACTGGGCTGCCTGCGTGTGTTGACTGACGTGTGTGCTATGTGTGTGTGGGGTGCCAGGATTTGAGCAAAGCCGAGGTGCTCTTCGAGCAGGCCGTTGCTGAGTACAATGAGCCAATCGGTGGGAGAGAAAAAAGCGGCACAGGCTCGAATTGATTCGTTCAAGGGGGCTGTCGTGGTGTGCGTGTGTGTGTGTATGGTCTGATGCGATCGATGGATGGCAGCCCACAACGGGTTGGGCTATATCTCTTTCCACGGCACCCCCCAGAGGAAGCGGGACCTGGGGCTGGCATTCCAGCACTTCAACGAGGTGAAAAAACACTCTGCTGCATGCACACCCACCACACAATCTCTCTCTCTGTCTCTCTCTCCTGTGCGTGTGCCCCAGAGTGCGCATGGCCACAGTGCCGACGGTCAGTTCAACCTGGCGGCGCTCTACATGACCGGCACAGGAGTCACCCAGTCCTTCCAACGCGCACTCATGTGGTCAGCCAGCAATCAAATGAACTTAACAACCACATCGACGGATGCAGTCAGTAATCTGTGGGGGGTGTGGTGTGGGGTGCATCAGGTATGCCCGCGCCCTCGAGAAGGGCCACACGCCTGCAGCCTACTCCCTGGCCGTCATGTACCTCAACGGACTCGGCACTGTCAGGTGTGTATGTGTATGGCACAGAGAGAGAGAGAGAGAGAGAGAAGCCATCCGTGCAGTGCAGTGCAGCAACTATTGCGTCTGTCTGTCTGGGTGCTGTGCTGGACGCCTTGCGTGTCTGTCTGTTTGTCTGCAGGGACTGCAGCATGGCGGTGACGCTGCTGAAGAAGGTCTGCGAGAGGGGCGAGTGGGTCACCAAGGCACTGCAAGACGTACGAAGGACGCACGAGGCCCTCACACCACACCCAGAGAGACGCATGGCCTGGATCAGACACCAGCCAATACTTTGTTGATTTGATGTGTGTGCCTGCAGGCTTATCGATTCGAAAAGGACGAGCCCAACCTGGCCGCATTCCAGTACTGGAAGCTGGCAGAGGCCGGCCACGAGGTGAGTGAGTGAGACACCCTCACCCGCACCCACACAGAATGGGATGGGCAGCAGGGGCAATGCAATCCCATGTCGGTCGATATGATCATATCATGATCAGGTGGCGCAGAGCAATCTCGCCCACTTGATCGACTCCGGTGCGGCCAACCTCTTCTTTGCAAGTGAGCAGAGAAATGCGTGCGACGGATGAAAACGCGGGCAGGACAACCATATTGCATTCGGTGTGTGTGTGTGTGGTGCACCATCAGGTGACAAGTCTGAGCGGAAGATCCACGCCCAGCGGTTCTACGAAATGTCGGCCGAGCAGGGATCAGCCGCATCGGACCTCAAACTGGGTGTGTACCTAAAAAGTGTTCTCGCCTGCCTCCTAGACCTTCCCTCCCTCCTTTATGTCACTTATGTCATGTGCCTGTCTCTTCGCTCGTTGATTTCTTCCCTCAGGCGACTATGCGTACGGCGGCTGGGGCCTGGAAGCGTCGTACATGCCACGCTCAGGTACACACACACACTACAGACGCACTCACATGCGCCACACACCTCTTGGCTTGGCACACTGTACAGGGAGACTTGAGGCCGGCAGCGACTCGGAATCGGCAAATCGCACCACGTCTGTGTCCGTCGAGGACAGCTACTGGTGGGTGGAGCCGGCTGTGCGGTACGCCCCCCGGCGGCCCAACTACCAGACGGCCGTGGCCTTCTATCGCAAGGCGGCGGAGACCGTTCCCACCAACCAGTGGATGATGAGCCACATCGCACGGGCCTCACACGACCTCGGCTTCATGTACCAGTATGGAATGGGCGTGCAGCAGGACCTACACCTTGCTAAAAGGCACTATGAACGGTGAGCGTGGACCACACACACACACTCAGGGAGAGAGACGTGATCGATCTGGTTGGTGTGTGTGTGTGTGTATGTGTGTGTATGTGTGTGTATGTGTGTGGTGTTTGTGTGGTGGATGGCTCTGTCTGTCAGAGTGCTTGAGATCGACCCCACTGGTCCGCGGACGCCCGTGCAGCTGTCTCTGCTGCTGCTGGCTGCTTACGGCATGTATGTCGAGACGGACTGGAAACAGGTCGGTGCACTGCACACCAAACACCGATACCACACCACACACCACAGCCAGCCGTGGATGATCTGATCTGATCTGTGTCTGTCTGTCTTTCAGCTGGTGCGGACCTACCTGAGGGACTACCGGATGCTGGCCCTCCTGTGGCACCTGGCTCTCATCACCCTACTCATTCCCATCCGGTTCATCGTATGGGTACCTTTCTCACACACACACACACACCTCTTTGACGTGAATCCATCGCTCCTTTGTGTCACCCCCCTGTCTGTCTGTCTGTCAGCTTTTGCAACGGCGTCAGAGGCGGCTGCATCGTCTGGTCAACCCACGGGCACTCGTGGGCACCGACATGGACGTCACCACACTCAGACAGCTCCACCAACGGAACCCCGCCATCATACCAATCCCCCCTGGCCCTGGCCCTGCCCCCGCCCCTGTCGCCTCCTCATCCTCTGCCCGCACACCAGCCCCGGCCATCCCACAGACACACACAGAGACACAGCAGCCGATGGCAGGCGACCGCACGAACGAAGCTGTGTCGCCTTCTGATGGTGCTGGTAGTGGTGGCGGCGAGGGTGCGTCGATGTCAACTGCGAGTGACGAGTCGAGTCAGCGGGAGAGGGAGAGGGAGAGCGGCGTGCAGGAGAAGGTCCAGCCTGACCCGCCGCCATGGGACAAGATCAACGGCGGCGGGGTGGCTGTGCAGAATGGCGGGGCGTGATTGATGAGATATGACTGGGGGCGTGTCTGTGCAGTTAGAGGGAGGGAGGGAGGGTTGAATTGCGTCGAACGATTGAAGAGACAGACTTATTTGTCACCTGGGAGATGGTGGGTAATTCATTCATTCATTGGCCAGCCGGGTTTTGGCTGTCCGTCGTGTCGTGTTGGTGGCGATGTGGGTCTCAAGATTTGGGCGTATGGCACGTGGGCCACTAGCTGGTCGATTCGATGGACGTGACGTAGTCACTGCTACGAACATTGATGGGATGGATGCGTCTCACTCACTACACAAAAATCCAAGTCTCTGGTCTCACACAGCATAATCACTGCACTAATCTTCCGGCGGCCACTCCCACGCGTAACTACACAGTACCAGGGCAACGCAAACCATTCCGGCTTTGCTGCCACGTACATGACTGACACGGCCAAAAATCGGTATACATACTAGTCTCCCTACTGCCTACAGACGACCGGTCATTCAAACGGAAGGACCGATCATTCACGCTGCTGCTGCTGCTGCTGCTAGCGCCCCGCTCAGCACGGGGCTGAGCGCTTCTGCAGCCTCGTCAGCAAACTGCTCGTAGCACAGCAAAGCACCTGCACACACACACGGCCACACACACACAGAGGCGCATCCGCATCCATCCACAGCACAAGTGTGTGCAGCGCACCCCCACACACAGACAGCCCACACACCTGGTATCTCTTTGTATGCGGCGAAGTAGTCCCTCAGCCGATAGAGCTCCTCCTTGCTCGCACTCGGGAAGTCGGCCCCTCCCAACACACAGGTCTTCTCCCTCAACGCGGCTGGCAGCCCTGCAATCCAACAACCCCACACAGCTTATGTCCAGCCACCATATCCACCCACATCCACCCACATGCCCCCTCTCACCCTTCAGGAACTGTGTGACCTCGTCAACGCTCCCGAATGGATCCAGCCCTCCCGTGATGAAGGCAGGCGGCACAAAGGACGGCCGCTCCACCGTGGCGGCTCTCTGCTTCTCCTCAAGCACCCCACCACCAAGGGCATCCTCAGTCGTGAAGACGTGGCTGCTCAGCGCCTTGGTCAGCCTGCCCTTGGACGAGAGATAGCCGTGCACCGCCCCGCCCACAAGGGGCGTCCCGTAGGCCCCGCGGATGAGCGATGCGACCGTCTTGCCGGTGTCTTGCTTGCTGCGGAAGATGGTGGGGAATGGGCCACGCCAGGTGGGCGAGGCGAGCACAAGGCGGTCGAGGGACGACAGAGAGCCGGGGATGAGATCGCGATAGGCCTGCATCGCATCAAGCAACCAATGCACACATGACAGACAGATAGAGAGGCTGTCGGCTGTTTATTGAAAAGGAAGGCGCTCGGTGACTCATATATATACCAGGAGGGCAAAGAACCCGGTATGGCCGCCGGCCACTATCCGCAAGCTGCCGGCCCCCCCGTCCTTCTGCAGATGGGAGACCAGGTCGGCAAAGAAGTGCGTGAAGGTCTCGGCGTTCATGTCCTCCTCCGTCAGAGGCATCTGGTGGTTGCTGCCGTAGCCAGGCAGGTCCACCAGAATGGGCAGCATGCGTGTGGCGGGGTCCCGCTTCGCCATGGCCTTGACAAGAGGGAGCCACTCCGTCTTGGTCGACACGAATGACGGCGCCGGGATGAACAGGGTGGGCAGCAGGTCTTTGGAGTCCTCGCTAACCGCCTCACTGCAGCATCACAGACCATCACAGCAAGGCACAGAAGCCCACTCTGAAACCAGCCCCTTCTCCTTGTGTTGTCGACTCACTTGGGAAAGAGCACATCATACGAGATCTCTCCCTCGCGTCCTTTCCAGCCCCACTTGAAGCTCTTGGCCTGCGCCTTCATCCCATATGCCGTAGCAGCCAGCATCGACAGATGCCGCAGCTGTTGCATTCCGCAAGCGGCAAAGCGGCATCGTTTGGCGAAGCGCAGAGGCATCGATGGTGACGGCACCAATGCCCAACAAATGGACGGCAGCATGACCATAGCCAGCGATGAATAGACAGGCATTCTCTGAAACCGCGAGATGATCGACCTGACGAGATGACCCTGTCCTCCGTCCTCTCGCAAGCTGTGCGTGTAGGGAGGCTCTTTTCCCCCCCGCGACCTCAACCTTGTAAGCTCGCAAGGACGAGGGAGGGGAATTTACGAACGACGAGGATCTCCCCTAGGAGGGTAGGGTGTGATGTAGCTGGCTGGAGCTCCCCAGCAGACCTTTCCTTTCAGCGAGATGGCGGCCGCCGCCGCAGCAGCGGCGGGACCATCCGATTCGTCCAAGAAGAGAAAGCACGACGGCAGCGAGCCCCAACACGAGTCTCTGGTGTTGATGTTCGATGGCGTGACGACGGGCCTCGCGCCGACCAGCACGTGTTCGCGGAAGCGGCAAACTCTTCGTCGCTGCTCGAGTGCCTGCAGTCGCTTCAGTCCCTGGCAGAGTCAGCGGCTGGGCGGGTCAAGCGGCTGGCCGCAGAGATCAACGCCACCATCCAGAAGCACGGCGGCATCCCCAGCACGGAGGTGAACCCGGACCAGGAGCCCATCCAGCTGAATGTCGGCGGGCAGGTGATGGCCATCCCTGCCCGCAGCTTCCTCCACCCCTTCATGCGGCCCACCTACATCGCCACCCTGCTGCTGCAGTTCCGCTCTCGGCTGCCGAGGGACAAGGACGGCCGGGCGTACCTGGAGGCCTCACCTGACTACATGAGATGGCTCGGCAACAAGCTGGCGCTGCTCGAGAGCCAGAGCAGCGCCAAGATCCAGGAGGAGCTTCGTGAGGAGCGTGACGAGTACCACGAGCTCTTCATGCAGCGGCTGGGGGAGAGGGGGGCGGAGGCGAAGGTGAAGGTGGAGGGCGGGGAGGCGATGGGGATGGGCGGGCGCGGAGGGGAGGTAGAGCTTAGCGTGGAGGGGCAGGTGGACAAGATGCTGCGGTTGCTGGGGCGGCGCAATGCCGCTGTCGAGGCCCTCGAGTCGGTCAAGACGCGGCTGGCCGACTTTCTCGAGACCATGCGCCCATTCATGAGGCCCATGCATCTTGACTCCACGGAGATCGAGATTTGGAGCCTGGAGGTGATGGGGCAGGAGGTGGCCATCACGAGCCGCACCCTCTCACACTTGGGGCCCGACCGTACACTCGCCGAGCGCTTCTCGCCGTAAGCAGCAGGTACACACTTAGCAGTGCCTTGCCACGTGTTTCCATGGATGGATGCGTTTGTGTGCAGGAATCATCCGGCCGGGCGCACCGTCCTGCAGACATCAGCGGAACACTTCAGCAAGATCGTAGGTGAGTGGGTGCACTCCCAGGCAGGCAGGCAGGCAGGCAGGCAGCCAGACCGCTGAATTCCTCCTCATGTTTCGTTTGCAGATTATGCTCGTCGCGTGGCCGTGATGCCCAGCCGGATCAAGGTGCATCGGCCAGTCGTCATCCCAAGCGAGCAGGAGGCCTTTCAACACCTCTTCCAGCTCTATGGCATGGAGGGAATAGGGTCAGCCAACACGCACCCAACACACAGTCAGGGAGACGTGAAGAGGGTCCCGTGTGTTTGCTGTGTAGGTTGATGTACCAGATATTCGTCACCTCGGGCAACTTCGCCGGCTTCGGCGCCACGACCATCACAGTGAATGAGCACATGACGGTCGAGAAGGTCAAGACCATCGTCTACTCCAAGTGGGGCATTATGGCGCGATACCTCAGGTGTGTCGGCGGCAGATGTCTCATGGACGACGACGCAACAATGGCTCACTGCCAGGTGTGGAAGGAAAGCACCGTAAAGGTGTATCTGTAGCCACCCTTGGCGAGGAGAGGAGAGAGGGGAGAGGGGGAGGGACCGGAGGGACGGGAGGGTGAATTCGCATGACTGCTGCATTGCATGCATGTGTCCATATGTATGTATGACATGCATGATGGTTCTGTATACGAACAGCCATGGTTCTATATAACGGAATGCCATCAAACTCGTCGTTGATGGACTGTTGATGACTGGGTCCGGAAGGGTGGGTGGTCATGCGCCCCTCACAGAGATAGAAGGGGCGGGGTGGGGCGGGGCTGTGTGTGTGTGGGCGGCAGCGAAGAGAGATAGACAGCGGCCCCTTTTCCATTTCAGCTGGTGTTCCAGTGACTGAGCAAGAGGGGATTCGAGTGAGTGGGGGGCTGGGTACTCAGCCCCCCACTCAGGGGTTGGATGGACTGCTGATGGATAGACGGACGGGCAGACACACTGCACTGATCACACAGGGGGCCTGGTGGGGAGACAGACGGGAACAGTGAATAGCAGTGAATTCAAAGTGGGGATTGTTGTCAGGAACAGGATATACCAACCACTTGTCCACTGGGAGGGTGGCAGGGAGCCCAACCACTGGCCGAGGGACGACCTGCGGCTGCACATGTGGGAGAACGACGGGGCATGGTGAGTGAGTGGGGGTGGAAGGGCTGGCAGGGATGGCATGGCAGGGAGGAGGCGAACAGACAGCGGGCATGTCCTTGTGTGTGTGGTGTGTGGTGTGTGCAGGATGTCTGCTGCTAACGAGATGTGTTATGTGTCGGAGCCAGAGCCTGACACCACTGTGCGGGTGCACCAACACCGACACACAGACACACATGGACGCACACAGAGAGACATATGTCATGTCTTTCGTGTCTCGTGCCTCATGTCCCGTTCGTTCAGCGTGGGAGTGGAGGCCGCTTCTTCTCGCACAGGATATGCTACCACCGCCGATCCTTCATGCACCACGTACGGGCCACCAGCATCGAAATGCCCAAAGGATCATCTGTCTGTCTGTCTGTTGACTGATGGATGGCCATGAGTGCAGGCCGTGAGTGCTGATCTGGACGATGCCGTGGCCCATTTCCTTGGGGACGTGCGCAAGCTCGAGTGCCGGTCCAGGTTGACAGACCTGCCGCCCAGCAGACCCTCCACACCCACAGTAACTAAACCACCACAAGAAAGCCCCGACACGTTCATCCGTCTCTGTATTTTTTTCTTTCTTCTGTCGTAGTCTGAGGGTGCCTCCTCATCTGCATCAGCGTCAGCAGCGGCAGTGTCTGCGAGGGATCGGCGTGTGGCCCTGACTGGCCTGCGCGAGGTGTCCCGTGCCCTAGCCATGGGGCGGCTCAAGGTCATTCTGGTGGCACCGAACATCGAAGAAATCACCAGCCTAGGTCAGTCAAGGGGGTAAAGGGGACCACATGGTGCGCAAGAGTGTGCATTGATCATGTACAGGCGGGCTGGAGGACCGTGTCAAGTGTCTGATGATGGGGGCCGCTAAGAAGGAGGTGCCTGTCATATTCGCACTCAGCAGGTAGAAGGGCGAGAGGATCACGCACACACACACACACCGTGCTGTTTGTGTTGTGCTGCTGACAGGGCCCAGCTGGGTCGTGCGCTAGGGAAGAACATGAGGGTGAGCCTCGTGGGAGTGCAATCCATCCACAGGTGTGCAGACACGTACAAACAGGTGACTGACTGACACGAAAGAGAGAGACACGGAGACGCTTGTTGACATGCGACACCCTGAGTGAGTGAGTCGGTTTGCAGATGATAGATACGTGGCTGCAGCACAAGTGAGGTGAGCGGCACTCAAGACTGATCTCTCTCTCTCTCTGCGCTGTAAACAAAACAAGACGCCAAGCGACGATGCGTGTGATGACTGGGTCCGGAAGGGTGGGTGGTCATGCCCCTCACAAAGATAGATAGATAGAGGGGGCGGCGGGTCGGGGTGGGGCGGGGCTGTGTGTGTGGGCGGCAGCAAAGAAGACGAGATATAGATAGCGGCCCTTTCCATTTCAGCTGGTGTTCCAGTGACTGAGCAACAGGGGAGTCGAGTGGGTGAGTGGGTACATTGAGGGATTGAGGGGTTGATGGACTGCTGATGGATAGACGGACAGACAGACAGACAGACAGACACACTGCACTGATCACACGGGGGTCATGGTGGGGCGGGAGACAGACGGGAAGAGTGAATTCAATTCAAAGTGGGGATGTTCTCAGGAACAGGATATACCAACCACTTGTCCACACACGCACACACACACACACACGCACGCACACACGCGTGACACAATCCATTCACACAAGGACAAAACACAACAGGGCGGGCCGACAGCCGACAGATAACGATCTATCCATCCAACACTCTATGCCCCCCTACCTGCCTGCCTGCCTGCCACCCAAACCTGTCCATGTGTGCATCTCAGGTCATCCCCAGCCGTCTGAATGTCTCCCTGCCGTCCCGGCCCTTGTCGACCCACCCCACCGCCCCCCACTCGACGGCAGGCACATCCGTCGTGAAGCCGTTGTCGATCTCCCCCACCAGCCCCCACTTGGCGGCCTCGTCCAGGATGGCCCGCTGCACCACCTCACGCAACTCCATCTTGCGGCCACCCACACCGCCCACCACAAAGCACTGCAGCTGCGGCACCGTCACCTTGAGTCGCTTGTCGCCCTGCTGCTCATACCTCGTTCCGCCCACCACCTCCCTGTTGCTGCTGGCCTGGTACACTGCCGACTTGACAAAGTGCTCCGCTGCCGCACACACACGGCGGGCCATGTCGCTGTGCCGCACACGGATGGCCTCACTGATGGCCTTCTGGGCGGCATCCATGTCGAAGAGGTATGACGCGATGCGCCAGCCGAAGATGGCGGCCTCCTGCGGGCCGACGGCCAGCCGGGGGGTCAGGAGGGCCGCGAGGGAGCGGTGGGGGGCGAGGGCGGCGTTGACGGCCGACATGACGGGGGGACCGAGCTCGTTGAGCACCGTGGCGTACTCGGTCAGCACCAGCCGGCGGTGGCGGCGGTCCCTGTGTGTGGCACTGGGGATGCTGCTGATGTCGCCTCCCACCCGCAGCAGCGAATGGATGATCCGCTTGTACTTGTCACTCTCGGCGCGACACTCCTCCCTGATGGCCCAACCACTGTAGTCATCAAGCTCTCTGGCAGCCCAGGCGAGGGGCGTCTCGCCGCGGCTGTCCCGTCTGTTGATGTCGTCAGCGGCGGGCAGCTTGCGGCAGAGGTAGCCGGCCACCTTGGGAGAGCCATACCATGCCGCGTAGTGCAGTGGCGTCCATTCACCGCCGTCGTCTGCCGTCATGTCGGCCCCGTTCGCCGTGGTGAGATCCAGGTAGCTGTCGATGAAGGACTGGGGGTAGTGGCCCAGTGCGTTGATGGCTGCCGTGTCCACCAGGCTGTTGCCGTTGTCGTCTCGTTCGGTGGCGAGGGTGTGGTCTCGTTGGATGAGTTGCTCATACATCGACATGAGCCGCTGCAGATACTCGGGGGGAGGCTGACGCAGGGGACGGGACAGCTCCATCACCATGTATGGGCCTGGTGGGCGCAGGTCGATTCCGGGCCGCTCTATCAGCAGCTCGAAGGCCTTCTGATTGCCGCATGCAATCGCCAAGTGGACGGGCGTCTGTTCGGTCTCGTCGGCTGCCGCATTGGGGTTGGCTGCTCCGTCGAGGAGTGTGGTGAGGACGGCCGACTGCAGCTCGTCAGACGACCAGTGGGGCAGGGCGACGGGACGGCGATCATCATTGTCGCCTTGGGCTAGGATGGTCTCGGCGGTGTAGTCCGACTTGTTGTCAATGGCGAGGGACAACAGGGGGTAGCCGTAGACAGCACCACTGCCCCTGCCCAGCCAGGGGATGATATCCGGGTCGGCGCCCTGCTTGATGAGGTCGGTCGCGTGCTGGGGGCTGGTGATGGTGCGGCCGATGACGCCCAATGCCAGCTGCCTGGTGGCCTCGTTGGTGCCGCGGGGGAAGCGGGCCTCGAGCTCATCGGGTCTCCAACAGCCGTCAGGAACAGTCACGCCAGAGGCCGCCACTATTGGATGGCCTGCAACACACACACAGCCACCACACGACACACACAGTGAAGGAATGTGTGTGCGGATCACATTCCTTCCCGTCTGTCTGTCTGTCTCTTTGGCGTACCGTCCTCCTCATAGCCGCCGCCGTCGCCCAGCCCACCGTCGTCATCACTGTCGTCCTGCACACCGTCCTGCCACAACAAAGAGAAAAGAGTGAGGAAAACTGCTGACGCTCGTCGGATGGGGCGGCTGGTGCTGTCAATGAGTGACTTACCGATTCGGATTCGCTATCAGCTGCCGCCTGTGGACCTTCTTCCTCCTCCGCCATCTCGCCGTCCTCCTCCTCGGCCATCTCGCCGTCCTCCTCCTCTCGCAACAAATCTGAAACGAAGACATACTAACACATTCGTCAGCAAAGCGAAAATGAGTGTGCCACTGGTGTGTTGATCAGTCTGTGTGGCGTGCTGTTGACTCACCACTGGCAGCGTCATTGTCGTCTTGCCCGTCTGGCTGCCCGCCGCCATTGTTATCCTCCTCAGCCACATCGTCTGCACACACCATCGAAGACACACACACACGTGTGGCGCTGATGCTGTGTGTTTGATGTGTCACATTCATCTGTGTGTGGCGTACCCGCATCGCCATCGTCACCGTCCGCCACGGCAGCGGAGGCCATGTGGCTGTCGTGACCGTCGGACATCTCACTAAAACAGACACCAACAGCTGCACCGACCACACACACACAGAGGCGACAAGAGATGGGCAGACACCTGCTGCATGTGTCGTGTGTGTGCTCGCCCACCTAGCTATGAGTCAAATGGTACAAAGGCGCTCAATGAGTCCGCCCCGTCACCAAGGCCGACCTGCACAACACGACACCGACACACAAAGGCTGCAACTCACCTGACGACTACTGGTGAACGAATCGCATGAGCGCGTACCGTCGGATGCCCAATCACACACGCAGATACACCAGCTACTAGGGTCAGCTAGGGTTTGGGGTTCTGGGTTTTCTAACCCTTAAACCCCGCGGCTCGCCAAGCTGCCCTGCTTAACGTAGAATTCCCACCAGCGTTGTCATCGCACGGCTTGAGTGAGTGTTCACTCTGCTCTGTTGACCATGCCGCGTGCTGAGGCGGGGACGCCCAAATGGTTGGCCAACAAGATGAAGGCCAAGGGCCTTCAGAAGCTCCGCTGGTACTGCCAGATGTGCCAGAAGCAATGCCGAGACGAAAACGGATTCAAGGTGGGAAGGGGAAGTGCACACGCAGCCACGCAACGAGTGTCGACGACTGTCCTGTCCCTCTTCCTGTGTGTGTGGTCGTGTTCAGTGTCATCGCATGTCGGAGGGCCACCAGCGTATGATGCAGACGTTCATCCAGTCGCCCGGCAAGTTCCTCGACGCCTTCTCCCGCGAATTCGAGGAGGGCTTCATGAAGCTCATGCGCACCAAGTCAGCGACGAGATGTCCCTACACTCACGCATCAACACGGGACCAAAGGCATCTGTTGTGTCGTCTCTGTGTGTCGTGTGTGGCGCTGCAGGTACTCCCGGCAGCGTGTGCTTGCCAACACGGTGTACTGCGAGTTCATCTCTGATAAGAACCACATCCACATGAACTCCACTATATGGGTCACCCTCTCGGGGTTCTGTCAGGTAGGATAGGAACACCCCAAACCACACACTACACTACACGACGAGAAGCGAGCACATCTGGAGACCATAGCGCCTTTCTGCCTGTGTGTGTGTGTGTGTGATGCAGTATTTGGGCCGCACGGGCAAGTGCAAGATTGACCACACGGAGAAGGGCTGGTACGTCGAATACATCGACCAGGAAAAAATCAAGAGAGAGGTGCGCACACACACTCTCTGCCAAGGGACACGACACGCCGCCGAACAGCCATTCAGCCATTCATTCTCTATGTGTGTGTTGTGGTGTGTCATCTTTCACAGCAAGAGTTGGAGGCCAAGCGTGCTTACGAGTTGACTGAGGAGGAGCGCCAGAAGGCCGAGATCGCCGAACGGGTCGAGAAGGCACAGGCCGCCGGGCTGTACAGGGAAGCGGTAGGGCACCGCAGCCACAGCCACCACCCCCCAGCACACCGTTCACGCGTCGTGTGCTGTACCTGGTTGTTGTTCAGGAGTACACAGAGCTGATGCGGGAGGATCCCGACGAGAAGATCGCCTTCAAGGTGAGCTGAGGCTGAGTGTAGCGGACCATACTTGTCTGTCGGTCGACAGTGCTCACACACGGTCCTTGTTCGTTCATCAGATGCCCGAGGTGCGTCTCAAGGCCGAGAAGACAGAGGAGGGGGAGGAAGGCGCCCCCGGCCCCTCCAAGCCCAGGAACCTCTTTGCCGAGCTCGCCAAGCAGAGACGCGCAGAGAAGGCGCAGAACAACGGGACGGTGGGGGCCAGTAGCAATGCCAATGGCCATGGGGAGGGGATTGTGGACGTTAGCGGGCCCGACGCGTCCGCATCTGCATCCGCATCGGCCTCGTTTAGCGGTCAGCTGGATAGGAGGGCCGATGAGAAGGACAAACGGAAGGTGAGAAGAGGGAGGGAGGATTCAAGTGAGAGGAGAGGACGCGATCTGAATCTCACCTCACACTGTCTGTGTGTGTGTGCGTGTGTGTGATGCAGTTGTCGGCGTTGGAGCGTCTGCGTTTGGAAAACGAGGAGCGGAAGCTCAAGAAGGTCAAGACAGAGACCAACAGCACACCCACACCTGCACCTGCTCCCGCATCCGCTGTCAAGCAGGAAGACGTAGAAGAGGAGACGTAAGGGCACAACAGCAGAAACCGGCTACAAGCATGCAGCCATGCTCATGGCACGTGTGTGTATCTGTGTGTGTCAGTTGGTTGAGTGAGGGTCTGGTTGTCAAGGTGGTGCTCAAGGACTTGGCGGGCGGCAAGTACTACAAGAAGAAGGGCAAAGTCACCAATGTCCCCAAGCCGTAAGCCCAATCAATCCCCCACAGCATGACGTACCTACCGCACATATACGTCGACGGCTCACCTACACCCCCTGTGTGTGGCACTGCTCAGCTTCACGGGCGACATCCGCATGCTCGACTCTGGCGACGTCCTCCGCCTCGACGAGACCCACCTCGAGACCGTCATACCGGTACAAACACACAGCCCGCACCCACACAGACCGACCCGACTCCTCGCGAAATCGATCGCCCTTGTGTTGTGTTGCTCGCTGCGTGTGTGTCAGAATGTTGGTGGGCGCGTGCGCATCGTCAAGGGTGTGCACAGGGGCGAGGAGGGTGTGCTCAAGGCCGTCCACCTGGAGCAGTTTTGCGCGACGGTCGAGACGGCCGCCGGGGTGCGGGAGGGCATGCAGTACGAACAGGTCTGCAAACTCATGGCCGACGAGTAGCGAGGGAAGGGGAGCTGGCTGGTTCGTTGGGGCGTCGGTAGGGAAAGGGAATTTTTCCTCTCTCACTTGCTTGTGAATGTGTGTGTCCACCGTACGTGGATTGTGAAGTGTGCATATGACTGCCTGACGATGACCGATTGGTTCGATTCAATTGGTTCGTGTCGTGGATGCAGTGAGTGCATCTCTCCTTATACACTGTACATGATCAATCAAGTGATCCATCAAACGCTATGATCGCGTGACAGCCCCAAAACCTTCTTGCATCTGGAGTGAATTACGTTTGTGTCTCTTTGCTCTAACCCACAAACGGGGAGGGGACGCCGCTTCCTCTCGTCCTCCATGCTCTTTCTGCGTGAGCGGGTGTCACAACCACCAGCACTGGACAGACAAGTCCATTCATTCATTCATCGCTGTTGACGTTCCTCGTCGGACGGCAGCTGCTGGCGGCAGTGAACTGGCCTACCCTGTCTGACGAGCGAATTGATCATTGTGAGGCTTAACAGCGTTCACCGACGGTGAGTGCGACGCAATTGGCTCACCACGAGTCACAATGTGGCTTTGCGGCCTTTGTGTGTCGGTGTGGTGTTCGGCCTTGGTGACGGGGCGGACTTATTGGGCGCCTTTGTACCATTTGACTCATAGCTAGGTGGGCGAGCACACACACGACACATGCAGCAGGTGTCTGCCCATCTCTTGTCGCCTCTCTGTGTGTGTGTGGTCGGTGCAGCTGTTGGTGTCTGTTTTAGTGAGATGTCTGAGTGTCACGACAGCCACATGGCCTCGGCTGCCATGGCGGACGGTGACGGTGGCGATGCGGGTACGCCACACACAGATGAATGTGACACATCAAACACACAGCATCAGCGCCACACGTGTGTGTGTGTCTTCGATGGTGTGCAGACGATGTGGCTGAGGAGGACAACAATGGCGGCGGGCAGCCAGACGGCCAAGACGACAATGACGCTGACAGTGGTGAGTCAACAGCACGCCACACAGACTGATCAGCACACCAGCAGCACAATCATGTTCGCGTTGTTGACGAATGTGTTGAAATGTCTTCGTTTCAGATTTGTCGCGAGAGGAGGACGGCGAGATGGCGGAGGAGGAGGGAGAAGGTCCACAGGCGGCAGCTGATAGCGAATCCGAATCGGTGAGTCACTCATTGACAGCACCAACCGCCCCATGCGACGAGCGTCAGCAGTCTTTCTCACTCTTTCTCTTTGTTGTGGCAGGACGGTGTACAGGACGACAGTGATGACGACGGTGGGCCACTGGGCGACGACATGGCTGACGACGACAACGACGGCATCGATGACGACGACTATAACGACGACGAAGCCGACCCCTATGAGGACGACGACGGCTATGAGGAGGACGGTACACCAGACAGACAGACAGTCAGACGCGAGAGGATGTGATCCTCACACACATTCCTTCACTGTGTGTGCCGTGTGGTGGCTGTGTGTGTGTGTTGCAGGCCATCCTGTGCTGGCGGCCACCACGGTTGAGGTGCCTGACGGCTGTGTGGGAGCCAACGACATCGAGGCTCGATTCCCCCTGGGCACCAACGAGGTCACCAAGCAGCTGGCATTGGGCGTCATCGGCCGTACCATCACCAGCCCCCAGCACGTGACCGACCTCATCGAGCAGGGTGCCGACCCCCATGTGGAGCCTCGACTGCGGCAGAAGGGCAGCGAGTGGGCTGGCGTTCCCTACTCGCTGGTCCATCTCGCCATCGACAACAGGTCGGGCTACACCGTCCCGACCATCGACGCCGAAGACAATGATGATTGCCATTGCCGTCCCGTCGCCCTGCCACAGTGGTCGTCTGACGAGCTGCAGGCGGCCGTCCTGACCGCACTCCTCGACGGAGGAGCCGACCCCAATGCGGCAGCCGATCGGACCGGGGAGACGCCCCTCCGACTGGCGATTGCATCCGGCAATAAGACGGCATTCGAGCCGCTGATGGGTCGTCAAGACGTCGACCTGCACGCACAAGTCTTAGACGGCGCAGCAATGGTGATGGAGCTGCCGGTCCCCCTGCGTGACCCTCCTACTAACTTCCAAGAGGTGCTGCTGTCGATGTATCGTCAGCTCATCGAACGATACCCCACCATCGCTGCCGAACGACGCTTCGATGAAATGTGCACCTGGCAGCCATACAAGCGGAAGGGCGCTATCCCCAGCCCTTCATCGACAGCTACCTGGATCTCATCACGGCGAACGGGGCGGACATGACGGCAGCCGACGGCAACGGATGGACGCCACTGCACCGGGCGGCAGGGTTTGGCTCCCCCCACGTGGCCGACTACCTCTGCCGCAAGCTGCCCGCTGACCAGATCAACAGACGGGACAACTACGGCGACATGCCCCTCGCCACAGCTGCCAGCAGCCTCGATATGCACACCCAAGAGCTGCAGAACCCGAACACACCCGAGCACATCAGGGAGCGGTATCGCGCCACGATTCCCAACCACAAGCTGACCATCCGCAGCGTGCTGCGGGCGGGGGCCGACATCAGCACCATCCCCACAGCCACAGAGGGGGACTACCGTGGCCGCCAGCTGGTGCTGACCGAGTATGCCGGAGTGCTCAACGAGCTGCCCGCTGCCGTCATGGCGGCCGTCAACGCCGCCCTCGCCCCCCACCGCTCCCTCGCGGCCCTCCTGACCCCCCGGCTGGCCGTCGGCCCGCAGGAGGCCGCCATCTTCGGCTGGCGCATCGCGTCATACCTCTTCGACATGGATGCCGCCCAGGAGGCCATCAGTGAGGAGGCCGTCGGTGTGCGGCACAGCGACACGGCAGGGCGTGTGTGTGCGGCAGCCGAGCACTTTGTCAAGTCGGCAGTGTACCAGGCCAGCAGCAACAGGGAGGTGGTGGGCGGGACGAGGTATGAGCAGCAGAGCGACAAGCGGCTCAAGGTGACGGTGCCGCAGCTGCAGTGCTTTGTGGTGGGCGGTGTGGGTGGCCGCAAGATGGAGTTGCGTGAGGTGGTGCAGCGGGCCATCCTGGACGAGGCCGCAAAGTGGGGGCTGGTGGGGGACATCGACAACGGCTTCAGCAAGGATGTGGCTGCGGTGATGTGGGGGGCGGTGGGGTGGGTCGACAAGGGGCGGGACGGGAGGCAGACATAGACAGCTAAGGATGACATGAGACAGGCAAACAGATAGATGAGGGCGGGCAGGCTGAGAGATTTCGATGTGTGTATGCGTGGCTGTTGCTCTTTGATCGATTGCTTCTGCTTCCTGCCTGCCGGTCCCTGATGTGTGTCACCGGTGTATCAGGGAGGCAGACAGGCAGATGGGATGGGTGGAGAGATGTCATTGCTTACCTGCTGCCTGCATTTTTATCCTGACGTGTTGGTCTTGCATGTCGCTTCGTCCTTGCCCGTGAGTAAGTGCGGGAGACACGAAGCAAGCAGAGACTTGATGTATTGTCCCTTAAACTTCTTTGTATTCAAACGCACACCAATGTCAATCAGACATCACACGCGCTCTTCCTGTCTAGGAGGCCCAAGAAGCACAAATCTTCATCATTTTGGGCCCACTCACACATAGCTACTTCAACAACACTAAGAGACATATCATCTGAGGCTTGAAGTGCTGGATGATGCGATGCTCGACGACGTGGACGACTCAGCCTCGTCGGCAGCGGCCTTATCAAGCAACAGTGACGCCTGGTGTCTTCCTCGCCTGCTGCTGCTGTTGCTGCTGGTGGTGAGGGAGTATATGGTGTAGGAGTACAGGAGGGCCCCACACGTCGACACAACAATGCCTGGACAAGAAGACATTAGGACAAGAGACACGAGGGGAGGGACGGGGCGAACCCACCTGATGTAAAGGAGGGCGTGAGAGCGATGTCTGGGAAAAGCATCACGCCAAGCACATCACATATGGTGTTCTTGAAGTTGCTGAGGGTCACATGCAGCACACAGAGAGCAAAAAAGAGTCAAAAAATAGAGCAATCCTCCTCTCGTCCCCCACCTGCACACTCCCACAGTCATGGCGCTGGTATGATTTGTCGCCATGAAGTGGAAGTAATTCAGCGTCGCTGCCAGCACGGAGTTGACAGCCGCACATGTCAGGAAGAACGGGGACGTCAGGTCTTTGTAGCTCATGACCGTCTCGTATTCCCCAGCCAGCAGCACCCACACGCCGAGGTAGAAAGACATCCCGCACGACTGGTAGAAGAGGAGGCTCCACTCATTGTCATGGCCCCTCGAGAGCTCACGCTTGCTGATGACGCTGTACCACGATCCCGAGATCACACCCATCAGAATCAAGGTCACGCCAATGGCCGAGAAGAACATGTCTCCCCTGCAATAGACGGATGGAGACAGCAGATTCTTCTTGCGGCGGCCTTTTTTTCCTTTGTGGCCCACCAGGCTGCCAGCAGTGCCCCAGCGGTCATGATGACGGCAGCAAAGACCACGCCCCAGGAAGGAATGCGGCCGAAGACCCAATACTCACAGGGCATGGTGAAGAGGCAACTCAGACGAAGAAGGGCTGAATGCATCGGCACATTCAAGTATCTGACCATAGTAACAAGTAGACGTCTTTGCACACTTCAGGTGCCACGATTCTTACTTGAGTGACGACAGTCCACAGAAAATGCGCAGCACGCTTATGAGCGACATTTCCATGAGCTGCCACTGCCGATGAAGCGTCAAGGGGGGAAGAGTTATCCACCCCAGCCAGCCGAACCGCCGAACAACCACAGCAGTGAGGAGCTGCTGGGCCAGACAAAGCGCTCCCGCCGCATGGAAGTGAGCCGTTGAGAAAATGGCCTTGTTGAAGGTCGTCTGCACATCAAACATTACTGCATTCATTCATCCCTGAACAGGACACACAGACACGACGATGAATGGCCCCATGTCTCCCCTATCCTCTCTCTCTCTCTCTCTCTCTCTCTCTCTTGCGTAAGTACCTGATGCAGATTGTGCGTGCACGCATAGCTCCACCCAATGCAATGCGTGCACGCACCAGGCCAACGGAGGTCGCCATGTACGCGGCACAAGCGCCACACGCCGGCCCGACATGCCGGAACTCCTCTGGGTGGGTCGGGGGAGGCCCTCTTCGTGCAGCTGCGCCCTGCCTCACATGGGCACTCTGCACACATTGGCAGCACTGCATGCATAGTGGCTCTTTCTGTCCTCTGCATTGCAAAATGGGCGCACCTTGCGGATGTCGTGGAGGAACCCCACATCGCTCGCCAGCAGGGGCGACCCTTCGAAACGAGGTCTACGAGCAGCCGTGTTCATCCCGCTCATCCTTTCAGAACCCTTTTGTGTTTACGACAGCGAGCTTTTTGACAATCCCTCCCTGGTTTCTCCCCAAGGGGGCTGTGCTTTGTCTGGGTAGATCTGCCACATTGACTTAAGATGGAGCCCATCACGCTGGACGAGAACATCTGTTACTATGTGCTCATCCCCATCTTCATCGTCTGCATCATGGTCTCATTCCTCCGGCAGAAGATCCTCGTCGTCCTCAAAAGCGACACCAAAGTCGACCTCAAGGAAGTCAAAAACTCGTGAGCACACACACTCACCAACGCACCCACAAGAAGCAGCAGAGATCTCTCTCTCCTTGTGATGATGACGATGTGACACTGATGGTTGATGCTGCAGGCAGCTGCTGACACGTGCGAAGGTGCTGCGTGTCAATGCCGACTTTCTGCCAGAGAAGGCGTTCCGCTCGCGGAAGGCCTTCTTCAACAAGAAGGACACGGGCGCCTTCTGGAACCCACCTGACACACCAAACCCCCTGCAAGCTATGGCCACACAAGGTGGGGGCGGATGAGATGAGACCAGCAGATAAGGCAAGGCCTGTAGTGTGGGTGTGGTTGCGGTTGTGGTTGTGGTTGTGGTTGTGGTGTGTGGTCAGATCCGACTCAGGTAATGGGCATGCTCAAGTCGCAGATGGCGTTTGTCATCCTCAACGGCGGGCTGGCCTACTGGGTCCACTTCCTCTTCTCGGGCTTCCTCGTCGGTAAGCTCCCTGCCTACCAGGTTGAACCAACAGAGAGAGAGAGAGAGAGAGAGATGGCCTGTAGTGCTGGACATGTCTGTCTGAGAGCTGCCTTATGTATGCTGTGGTGTGGTGTGGTGTGGTGTGTGTCGTGTCGTGTCGTGTCGGGTGGGCACACAGCCAAGGCGCCGTTCCCCCTGACCTACAAGTTCAAGTTTATGCTGCAGCGGGGGGTGGACCTCAGCTCCCTTGACGTCACATACGTCTCCTCACTCTCATGGTCAGTCAGTCAGTTGGTTAGGTGCGGTGGCAGACAGACAGAGAGACGGAGAGAGCTGAGGAGGGACACTGTTGACTGACAGCTGCATGCCGTCTGTTGCCGGCCGGGCCGGTGTGGTCATCACTCACATCAATCGATCAGGTACTTCTTCATCTTGTTTGCGTCGGGTGGGATCGTCTCGCTGCTGCTGAATCTGCGCGGCGCACGTAAGACAGGCAGGCAGTCGAACGTTCAACAGAAGGCGACTCGACTCACCATCATCTGTCTGTCTGTCTCGATGCGTGTGTGCGTGTGTGTGTGGCTGTGATGTGCACTGCAGCGCAGCACGAGCAGGAGGCGCAGGACATCCAGGCGATGGACATGATCAACCCAATGATGGGCGGCATGGCCGGACCAAGTGAGCCGAGCTGAGCTGAGCTGAGCCGAGCCAGGCCAGCAGCATCAATCCCTCTCGTATGTGTGTGACATCCCGGTGTTGTGTTGTGTTGTGGGTGGTGTGTGTGTTCAGCTGCGATGCCTGGTATGCCAGGCTCCCAGCCTGACTTGAAGAAGGTCTATCAGCAGGAGAGAGACAACCTAGACATCGTGGTACGGTCGGTCAGCAACTCCACCCAGCCAGCCCAGCCACACTCATATACACTTTTCACGCCAGCACGAGTGCAGTGTGTGGCTGTCTGTGGTCGGTATGTATGTGTCAGTCTCACGACTTTGCCTTGGCGACTGTCGAGCAGAGGCTGGTACAAAAGTGGACCAAGCAGAAGCAGCACTGATGCGATGCGTGTGAAGAGAGGTGTCGCTGGCTGGTGACAGTGTGACTGACGATTAAATGAATGGCCGGCCTTTAGTCGGATGAAGAGAGCTTACTTAGGCACACACACACACAGGAAGGTACTAGGTGTCAGGGTCTATACAAGAGTCACACACCACACCACACCACACACCATCCTCGCACACACAACACACGTCACACCAGGCACACCCACCCAGATAGATCGAATGGGCCGGGTGAAAAATCATCTCATCAACAGCCAGCACCATGTCCATGTCCAACCATCGACGGCGTTAAAGCAACCATCGTCTCGTACCAACCCATACCAATAAAGCATTAAAATCCGTCCAGCCGTCCAGCCGTCCATCCATCCATCCATCTCTGCCTCTGATCGATCGCTTCATTGTCAGACCGCATCGGCCAGCCATTCATCCAACGCACCAGCTCCCAGCTCGTCTGCGTTCCTTATGCCGTAAGGAAGAGACGGAGGAGGCCACGAAAAACCCAGCAGCATCTCACGCGGCAAAAATGCGGTTTGGGGACCCGCCTGCCGCGCTATGTGTTGACTCCTACTGGTGCAGGCGATGCCTGTGCCTGTGTGCCGTTGGGCTGCTGCTGCTGCTGCTGGGAGGACTCTAGCTCTGCTGATGCGTGGGTGGGGGACGAGGGGGAAAGGTGGGAGGGGTCTTCTGATGGTGCTGGTGATGGTGCCGGGGGTCTTCTCAGTGACGGGGGCGGTGATGGCGCGGGTGAGCCGTTGACCGAGGTGAACCGCTTCAGCGTCTCCTGAGGTATCGACAGATACCTGCACACACACGCGCACACACACACACACACAGACACACGTGTCGATGGGCCGGGCCGTGTTGATGGTTTGATTGACCTTGCAAGCGTTGTCAGTTTCCGTTGCCGCTCGTCAGCCTCTGCCGGCGTGAAGGGCTTCAGCGCATATGACGACAACTGACACACACACACACAAGAGGGCATGCATCCCATTCACCAGATTTACTGCCCTCCCTCTCACTCACCAATTGGAATCTCTCTGCGTAGTCCCCAATGGCAGCGCCGGTCTCGTTGATGAGCGGCGTGATCTCCTCCTCGACGAGCAGCGGCGCCCAGGTGAAGAACTTGTCGAGGGCCGCCATGGCGTCCTTCCGCCTGTCGGACTTGATGCTCGTGCCCGCCTCACGCCATGACCACAACACCCTGCGAGATAATAATGAGATCATGCACAGCACACGTGTGTTCGGTGGTGGACGGGGTGCGGCCGACTGACTTGTCTTTGACGGCTTGTTCGACTAATCGTGAGGCCTCCTCGTTGTCGAGACCTGGTGGATTGGGGGGAGGGAGAGTGCGGCGCGCATCAATCAAGCGTCTGTCTGTCTGCCTGTCTGTGTGGGTGTCTGTGTGGGTGTGGGTGGCTTGTGAGCGTACCCAGCTGTTCCTGCACGTCGGTGAGGTATTCCCTGCACGACTCGTCCAGAGTCCCATCGGCGGTCGGCTCCAGGATGTCCGATACCTCAGCACTGCACACACACACACACACACACATCAGTGGACGCACCCCATCCCCACCCCCATCACGGCCTCCCTCACTTGAAGTATCTTGTCCTGTCGCTGTCGTCGATCTCCAGGGTGTCGACGAGGTCCAGCCCCAGCCCGATGGCGCACTCCCGCAGCCGCCGCACGGCAGCGCCCGTCACGCCCTGCCCCACCGAGGTCTCCTGCTCGGCCTTGAGACGCGCGATCTTGACCTCCAGGATGTACCGCTGGACGTCGTCGTCTGACATGCGGAAGTCATCCTGATGCACACACACACACACACGCACACACAGAGGAAGAGCGACTGTGGGTGTTGGAGGGAGGGAGGGAGGGGGGGAGGGTGCGTGCGTGCCTTGAGTTGGTTGACGGCCCCCATGTCTGACGCTTCGAGAGCGAACTTGCCCTTGAAGACGTCGTCCAGGAAACGCCGCAAGATCTTGCCGCCTGAATGACATGACCCACAACACACAACAGACACACACACACACAACACATAAGCCAGCAGCCAGAGAGAAGGATGCCTTGGCGTACCGATTTCCGCTGACTTGGCCCGCAGCACCGGTCCGGTGAAGCCCACAATGGCGCCGAGCTTGGGCGCCACTTGCAGATGCCGATCGCGCTTGGGACCAGCTGCCACACACAGAGACAGACACACACACAAGACAGAGAAAGGGGATGGGTCATTGGTCGGTCGGTCGATCGGCTGGTCGCTCTTTTTCTGGCTTACGCTCTTCAGTGAAGGCCCTGATGATGTACTGCTCGAAGAACTCGCTCAGTGTCTCGGGCTTGGCCAAACCGCTGCAGTCGAAGGCGAGTCTGTAGTCGGGCCACCGCTCGCCCTCGATGGGGATCTCCTCGATGAGATTGTTGTCCTCAAAGAAGGCCACGAAGTTGGTCGCCTCGTCCATGAAGTTGCCCTCCGACTCAAACCCTGCACCCACCCACACATCGCCCACAGACACACACACACAAGGGAGTGGCGTCGCGTGTGTGTCTGTGAAGGTCTGTCTGCTTGTCGTGCGTGCCTAGAGTGCCGGCGCCTCCCGAGCTGAGGACGAAGGGGTCCTCTCCCGTGTCCCTCTTGTAACGCCGATCGAGGTCTTTCCTGCATGGCATAAGCGGAAATGGCGGCGTGTTTGTAACACATTCATGTGGCGTGGTTGTGTGACCTGCCTACCTGGACAGGGTGGCCTTGGCGAGCTCGTACTCGAGTGCGGGGACGAAGTTCGCCCCAAGGTACTCCCGCATGCCGTCAAAGGTGTACCGCAGCGCAGTGTCCTGCATACACACACAAACCACACACACATCCCCCTATCCCATTCCATCCCATCCACCCCTCGAGCTTTCTCTGTTCCTCCCTCACCGGCTTGATGAAGAGCCACCGTCTCAAGGTCTCCAGCTCCCGCTTGACATAGTCGGTCATCAGCCCCGTCACCCCCAGTCCCTCCCTGACAGCCTGGATGAAGGGCGCCTTGCCGTACCGCTCGTTCAGGTGGTTGATCTGCGCCTGCCGCAGCCCCAGGGCGGCCCGCGTCTTGAGGAGGTCGGAGCGCTCGGCTGGCGTGGGGATGCGGCCGCCCTTGGTGAGGGTCTTGAGCTTAAAGGTGTAGATCTCGGTGGCGATGGAGGTGTAGTCCTGGGTGGCCAGCTGATACTTGGACAGCACGGCCGCCATTGACGATGCACTGACAGATACAGAACAGAGAGAGATACAGACAGAGAGAGAGATGCGCCTGTGTTGGTGTGTGCTGGGAGGGGTTGGTTCGGTTACGTGGTTGCTGCATGCTGGTCTGCGCGCGTGACGTTCCAGGTGCCCTCGGGTGCCTTGTCGATGTTGTCCTGCAGCCGGGAGCGCACCTCGTCGAGGCACAGCTCCTTGCGCATCGCCTCCACGTCGGACGCTCTGTTGCCCGTCAGGTTGCCCCACATCACCAGATCGCTGTTCAGGTCGCTGCTGTAGGTCTGCACCAAGGCAATCGATCGATGGATGGATGGATCTGTTGTGTGTGGCGGGGGGAGGGGCTGGGGGGGTACCTGGTGTGTGGTGATGTATTCCTGTGCGACGTATCTGGCGAGGTCGAGGGCGTTCACGGAGTTGGCGCCCTCCCCGCTGATGGGATTGCGGACAAAACTGACCACACACAGACAGACACACAGAGAGCGAGAGAGTATGCCCCGGAGGACGCACCTCTCCACGCCATGCTCACTCACTCGTATTTGATTTTGTCGTGGAAAGCGTCCCGATCGACCACATTGATGGCATCGGCAAGGGCACCCACACTCTGGTATAACCACACACACACAGAGAGAGACAGAGAGAGATGCACACAACACAAGACAAGACAAGCATAGCGTTGTGTCTTTCTGTCTTTGCAGACCTGGTGGAACTCCAGGAGTCGGTAGACGAGCTCGACGGCGATGGCCGTGTTGCCCACCTCGAAGGAACGAACAGCCTCCTGCACACCACACCACCACACAGGCACGCACACAACCAGGGTGTCGCAGGATGATAATGGGGGCTGGATGAAGACCCACACACAAGGGGCTGCCTGGCTGGGTGGTTGTCTGGGGTGGCTTGGCTCGGCTTACCGAATAGATCTGGAAGGCCTTTTCGTTGACCCTGTTCTTCAACTCAACGTCCATCCGCTCGGGCTGGATGCGCGCAGAACTGCGCCGCCATCACACAGACACACACCACACACACAGACAGCTCAGACGCCGTCACTTCGGTCTGTCTGTGTGGCAGACTGACCTCTGCAGCTGTTTGGCCCTCAAGCCGACGTCGATGATGGAGGTGGTCCTGTTGCCGTACTCGTCGAGCAGAGACGTCATCGCACGGCGGAACCGGGGCAGCTGACCGACCCAACCACACACACACACACACGGACACCATCCATACAGGCAGGCATCACATCTCTGTATCTCTGTGTGGCTCACTCACGCCCTCACTCACTCACCGTGTAGGTCTGGATCTCCTCATTGACCGCATACCGATTCACCCTGACCAACACACAGACACACAGACACACACACTCAGAAGAGCACGACAACATCATCACCCCCCCCCCCCCCCCCCCCCC